ATTGAATTGTTTGACATTTTGTCATGTCAGGACCGTTTATAGTTACTATATGGTATTGGTTATTATATTTGTTGAAGGTCATGTTGAAGGTCAATCGGTGAACTATAGCTGCTTACATCCACGTCATTTTTATCCGGTTGCTAACTGCATCATTGTCAATCATGTCACATCTTATTTATACATTGTCATAATTTGGTAGTTTTTCGTTTAATCTAGAGGAATCGGTTTCCATGGTTAAGTAAGGTCCCCGAAATTGAATCAAATCAACATTCTTCATCTCATAATATTGACAGCAGAACTCCATTCTGCAATGAAAATTTGTTACATAACTATATGTTATATCATAAGGATTTTGGTATTCCCCAAGTGAAAGCGATATAATTGAATCTGTTATCCTAGCCGCTGTATGTGTATTTTCAATAACGCGATAGATTTAACATACTAGTAAGTGGAATAATTTTATCACGTTGCGAGTCAACCTTTTCACTAATTATACATTCCATATGCATGATATACATGTATGAATTCACAATTGAACCATGTTGAACATGAACTTAACCATGACACTGATTTTTTTCAAATATTAAATAATTCGCAAAACTAGCGATTTTTTTTCGGGACATTTAATAGCAGTTGTGTACGTTATACCAAATAAAGATTTGCTACTGGGGCTTTTGTAGCTTACTTTATCATGTGGGACAATATTAAAACTTTCAATTTTTAAAATGGATAGATGTGGAAACAGATTTATTCCCTAATCAAAGAAATTTAAGACTACTATGTGTTATAGTAGTCTCAAAATAAATTGATAACACTGAAGTCAATTTGAACAAAAATTAGTTGAACCATATTGTTAATAATATGTGTATGAATACGAATGCGAATACTTTATCAAACCAATTATCGGCCCATAAAGGGCATGTTACATATATGGTTACAAATAGACATAAGAAAAAACTTTCAAAATAATGATAATGCTTATGATAATATGGATTTAACTATTGCAGTTGGTTTCTTATTGTAAAACATTTATAACACATTAAAGACACAGTGTTGCATATTTCTTCATGTTCACAAGAAAGAAGCCAACTTGATAAATCTGTATTTAGATTTTTAAAATTATTACATATTTTTATAGCAGAATTCAAAAATTACTTGTCGTTGCTGTTTGAATGCTTGACATTACATCAGAAAATGAATTTCTTCTTCAATTGAATTTAAAGAACAACATTTACAAATTCTTTTATCCTTGGTCAATCTTTCTATAATGACCCTGCACAATAGCTAATTTATGAGCACTAATTCTCATTCGTGTGAGGTACTTTCCAGTTTCAAAATTCTTTAAAAACATTTAGATAAGTCTTTCTTTTGAAAAAAAAGTTGAATTTGAAATAAGTTCGGAATTTACTCTTTACTACTGTCTGAGCATTCTGTAAAGATTATATTTCCAACATTGCACATGTCTTTTAATTGAAAAATCTTTAATATCATTAACATTGAGAGAAAAAAGTAAAATAACAAAAATACCGAACTCCAAGGAAAACGAAAAACGGAAAGTCCCTTAAAGTGGCAAAATTAAAAGCTCAAACACATCAAAAGAATGGAAAACAACAGTCATATTCCTGACTTGGTACAGGCATTTCCTTACGTAGAAAATGTTGGATTAAACCTGGTTTAATAGCTAGCTAAACCTCTCACTTGTATGACAGTCGCATAAAATTCCATTATATTGACAACACTGTGTGAGAAAAACAAGCAGTCAACATTGTGTTATAATCTTAATCACTATAAAAACAAACAACTATGTCAACAAAGAAAAACAAATTGGCATGTAGACATTCTATAGACAAAGCACATAAGCAAAAAGGAAAGACAAGAATACAAAAAAATGACCATACAAAATAACACAATTGCGGGATGTATAAGTACAGAGCCACGCCAAAAGGATATTACCAACAATGGACTAAACAGTAACGGTTAAAAATATACAAAGACAAATAAAAAGAACACTATACTGTGCATGTACTGAATTTGTGTCATGGATGGATACCCCATATATCCTTTGTTTTTCTATTGTTATAACACGTAACTAAGATGATAAACAACGTCAGTATCGTGTATTATTTGTGAAGTTGATACGGAATATTTATCAACAAGTTCTGGATGTCTTCCGATGATTTTTTTTAGAAAAAGGACGAGACGTTCTTTGACATAACCCTGGTTCATCAACTTTCTGCTCAGACATTGGTGACGTTTCACAAAGTATGAGTAGCAGCTGCAAACTCTTGAATATCGTATGAGTTGGGAAATGTATATCCCATATGTAGGTGAATTTGATACATTGCAGCTAAGGTGGGGAAAATTTATAAATTCAAAATTAAAATCGTCTCGTTTTCATAGATTCTGGTACTGAGATGACCGCTTATGTCAAATTCGAGGTATAAGTCTAAAATGAGGCGGAGGAAGCTGTGTCTGTTGTTTCTTTAATTTCTAGTTCTGGATGATATATTTAAGGAACCCAATCAGAAAAGTTATGGATTGTTAATGGAAAGAACATCATCAGTATATCTGAATGTGAAATTAAATGATCTGGCTTCTTTGATCTTCTTGTTTTTGACAAGTGTCTGAAGGAAAACCGACTCACAAGAAAATAAGAAAAGGTCGGCAAGGAGAGGCGCACAGTCAGTTCTCATAGGAATGCCTATAATTTGTTGAAAAAATTGATTAGTATTAATATCTACATTCAGCTGGTTTGCAATAAAATAATAGAAGAATATCATGTTTGTTTACCATTCTAGTGCATATAAATGCTATCTGTACGAATTTGACTTAACAAATGACACTCATTCATGTCTTTGAGTCTACAAACAAATTTAATTTGATAACTGAATAAATAATATCAATATGTCGTGTTCTACGACCAAGTTTTCCGTATACTACTGAATTTGTTGATTAACTATTAACTCCATGTGTGGTTTATTTTTGAAATCGGCCAGGGTAACATTTGGGGTTACTGAACTGAACTAGCGGTTTGAAGAAGACTGAAAGCAAGCCCGGTTTTAAAGTGGATATGGAATGTTTTGAAACAATCCAATTAAATTATAGATCTCTGATTTCGTTATCCTCATATGAAAAGGTTTTTGTTATGGGGAAATAAATGTTGTTACAGTAGATTTAAAAATTTGAACCAAAAGAAATTAATATGGAGTTATTATGTAATACTGATATCACTATTGATAAAATACAATTAAACAAATTGAAAATGATATTTTTTGTAGATATAGAGAGAGAGAGATGGTTCTCTGACTTAATGTGTAATGAACGTAGTAAACAACGAACATATACTAGATTATTTAAACAAGAATATCACAGAGGAAAATATTTATGTATAAATATGCCTGGTAAATATAAGAGTGCATATGCAATGTGTAGGTGTGGTGTTGCGCCTCTGAGAATAGAAACTGGTCGCTATGACGGTATTGTGATTGAAAATGTAAAGTGTTTTCATGATCATGAAAATAATATTAGTGAAGATGAGAAACATGTTCCACTGAACTGCCCAGTATATGCAGATTTACGTGCTATTTTATTTAGCCATGCTAACTCTTTTAATTTTAATTTTGTGAATATTTCCGATGATGATAAATTCAGGTTTTTATTCACTGATGAAAGTGTATGTTATTTTTTAGCCAAAATCTGATATGATGTGATATCAAAAAGAAAAAAGTATTTAATATAATTGTAGATAATTGTGTGTTTTGTAGAAATGGTTTTATAGTCTCATAACACCTTTTAGAGTGGCTCTCGTTGTTTTAAATGTTATTGTGACTTTATCAATATGTGTATGAATGTATGTCAATATTGAAGTGAGACTTTAATAAAACATTCGTTTTGTCTTGTCTTGTCTTTATATCTATGAGCACGCGCGTTAAGAAAGACTGAATTTTATTCGATTGGTTTTGACAGTGATTGTAAATTTGATCGAAAAAGTTGTCGCAAACTCAAAAGAAAAATTAAAATCAATAAATCAGACCAAAACCGCCAAATTATGAAATGTTCGGAGAAACACTGCATAAACATACTAGCTTCAGATAAAGTAATAAATGCACAAAAAAAGAAAATGACAAATAAAAAAAAAAAAAAAAACGATTTGACGGAGATCCGTAAACTCAAAAGAGTATTGGAAATTGAAGAACAGCAGAAAAAAAGAGCCCAACCCGACTGAAAATTTAAAAACGAGAATTTCTCAAGAAGAAATTGATAAACAGACAAAACTAGCACATACTTTATTAATCTGTGCTATCAAATGAATTTTTCATGGTTAAACAGAATAAAGACTATTCTAAATGAAAATGGCATAACTTTGTTAAGTGACAAAGAAATAGCACCGAGGAAAAAAGGTTGATTGTTTTTCCCCCACAATTCAACATTGTGCAGCTGATAAATCGACTTTATTTTGCAGTTAACTAGACCTGTACACCTACAGCAACAATCGCGGAAAACCTAAGAAAGAACAGATTGACTCGTTTTTGTTTTTTTTAGCCTTGTGCAAATATATATTATGACATTGTGTATGTGAGATTGATTAGAGTATTCAAAAGTAATATTTTCAAATCAGTGATTGCATTTGAATTTCCAAGAATGAAGTAAATGTAGAGCAAAATCTAAACACAATAATTATGATTGTCATTTGTAAATAAATAGTGTGCAAGGAGGTTGGCAATTTTAATAATTGAAAAACTATTACATTTAGATTGAATCAAATAGAGAATACCGCGATGATGTGCAGTCCAGTACATTATTTTTTGGAAAACATTTTAAACAATGACCTTCTTTTCCGTCAGGGCCATAAAGCTCTTTGATTATATATTATTCCTAGTCAATTACACATAATAAAAAAACCTTTCAAAATTCATAGTTCATATTCTTGACCAAATAACAAGTATTAAAATCGGGGCGAAACTACTCGGATATGCATCATCTTGGGACGAGTTGGTAACATTAGTGTTGCGAGTCGGCCCTGGTATTACAGGTAATTGTCCGTAAGTAGAAAATTCATTTAACAGTCAATATTTACCAAAATACTGTATTTACTAAATAAATGAAACTCTAAGTTAGTCCGCTGTTTTAATAATTATGATTAACAACTCATTTCTGTACTTATTTTTGCAATTGTTAGATCGGTTAGAATGAGTATAAATACACCATTGTGATTCAGAGATATTGATTAGTGTTTGATATCTCTACACAAGAACTAGTTCTCACGGTATGTTTCTATTATGTGTTATTGACAGACAGATCTTCGCCGCCACAAAACAAAGATTCACATAACTTGATAGGACATCTATCGATAAACTTTATAAATATGGTATAAAACGTTTGTGGCGAAAAATTTCAGTGGTGTATCTAAGTTTAGTATATTACAGTTAGTGTAAACAGATACATCGATACTCTGGAGTAAGGCAGACCACTACAAGGGCATTTCTGTCCTTAATTTGTTAAGAGATTAGAGAATACTCTAACCTTAAACAATATAGGTATGCATGTAAGTATCAATGGTCACTTTATTTTTGCGAACAGACACGAAAGAGGATGTGTTAGGTTTTATATGCAAACAAACAAAAACCAACAACAAACAAATCTGTTATAAAAAGGTTGGGGGGAAATCCTCATAAATGGGGTCTCACTAAATAGTGACAAGAGAATAATTTAGCAACAGGAAAACAATTTTAGTGTCAAGAAATCTAACAATAACTTATTTCAAACAGGAACATATATATACTGTTCCCAGTTTCAAATGAATAGATTAATTACAATAATCATATGACTAATTATAACGAAAACATTAAAATGTTTTTATGCCCCCGCCGTAGCGGTGGGGGCATTCAGTTTTACCCTTGTCAGTCTGTACGTACGTACGTACGTATGTCCGTCCGTACGTCCCAAAATTGGTTTCCGTTTTCTAACTTGATTTTGCCTCAACCAAATGTTATGAAACCTATACACAATGCTTATTACCACAAAACACAGATCAAGTTTGAATTTTGGTGGCGTCACTTTAACCGTTCTAGAGTTATGCCCCTTTATAAATAGAAAAATTGCTAAATTTTTATTTTCTTCTAAATATCAATTAATTTTTAAAATTGGAGTTATGCAGATATGCTTTGTAATCTTTTTATTGTGTTAGCCAATTTTGAAGAGGCTCAATTATTTGTAGAACTCTCAGCCATGCTTTACAATCTTTGTTATTTTAGCGTGTTTCCAGACTGCACAAGAAGGACGTGGTTCAACCTAGAGGTCAGTAGTTTGTTTTATTTTATTTTATTTTATTATTCTCCTATTGCATAGGGGACTTTAGGTTTGCACTCCGTCTGTCTGTCTGTCTGTACGTCTGTACGTCTGTCTGTCCGTCCGTCCGTTCATCAGTCCGGCAAATCAGTTTTCCACACTTTTTTTCTTCGTGCTTGACAATATTGATTTGAAATTTGATATATACTTTTATCATGACAAGTTACAGATCAAGTTCAAATTATGTTCTGGTCTGATGATTTTGTGCAGAGTTATTGGCCTTGGACTTAGAAAATTCACTCAAATAATCAGTTTTCCACACTTTTTTTCATCATGCTTGAAGATATTGACTTGATATTTGTTATATAGTTTACACCATGCAAAGTTATAGATCAAGTTAGCATTTTGTTTCAGTACAATGAATTCTTAACCGGTAGGGGACTATGTATTGCCATGCAATACTCTCAGAATGCTTGTTTATAATAGTGATATTTACATTAATATCTAACATAATCATTATACACTATGTGCATGGTAGTCTGCCAATTTTGACAAACTAGAGAACTAGTGTAAAAAATTACAAGATAAACATATAATTGTTCTTAAACGCCAGTAAAAAATAAAATCATAATATTTATGGGAACACCTAGTATTTAATAAAAAAAATTAACTATTATAACATGTGTAAGTAAATATCTTCAAGAACATAAAAAAATACTTATCATACCACATCTCCTTATTTTTATATTGTATAAATATTACCTTTGACTGACAGCTTGCACCATTTTTGTCTCGCCTGCGACGAAAGTCGCATTATGCAAGACATAGGTATTACTATTCAGTTGTGGCGGCGGCAGCGTAAACTATTTGTGTAAATTAAGCTTTATATTTCAGAAGGTAGAAGACCTGGATGCTTCATACCTTGTATGCAGATACCTTATGTTAGGAAGTTTCCGTCTGTCATATGTCCATTGTCCTTGACCTCATTTTCATGGTTTAGTGACTGCTTGAAAAACAGTTTTTTTGTAATATGAATTTCTCACTTATTATGAGTAGTAGGATAATTATATTTGGTATAATGGTTCCTTGCAACACCTACATGTCTGTCAGTCAGACAGGGTTCACCTGACCTCAACCTCATTTCATGGATCATTGATCAAGGTTAAAGTTACATGATTAGGTCCGTTTCTCAGATACTATAAGCAGTAGGTCAACTATATGTGGTGTATGGAATGATTGTAAGGGGTACATGTCAGTCTGGCAGGTTTCATCTAACCTTGACCTCATTTTTATGGTTCATTGGTCAATGTTAAGTTTTTGTGTTTTGGTCTGTTTTTCAAGTACTATAAGCAATAGGTCAACTATATTTGGTGTATGGAATGAATGTAAGGTGTATATGTCGGTCTAGCCAATATCATCTGACCTTGACCTCATTTTAATGGTTCATTGGTCAATGTTAGGTTTTTGTGTTTTGGTTGGTTTTTCAAATACTAATAGCAATAGGTCAGCTATGTTTGATGTATGGGATAATTGTAAGGTGTTCCTGTCTGTCTGACAGGTATTATATGACCTTGACCTCATTTTCATGGTTCATTGGTCCATCATCAGTTTTCGTAATTTTGTCAGTTTATCAGATACTATAAGTAACAGGTCAACTATATTTGGTGTATGGAATGATTGTAAGGTGTACATGTCTGTCTGGCCTGGTTCATCTGACCATGACCTCATTATCATAAAACATTGATAATGTTAAGTTTATGTGATACTTGTAGTAAAACCTTCATATTACAGACTTTCAACATAAATTCAATGATAAGTAAGACAGGCGTGTGCACTGTTTAATTTATTTATTTTTGTAGGACTATTATATATATTTCTGTTTGCTAAGTGCCAAAAAATCTGATTTTCAACTAAGTCTTCAATTTTAATTTGTTTCCATCTGTTAAAATGCCCAATCTTCATGATCTTACTACTGTACATTATGTTATTTCTCAAAATGGGAAGACAATATAATCATGAATATGACGATGTAATGAACAGCCATGATAAAGTACAAAAATGTACATGGACATCTGGAACCTTTAAAATTAATAAAGTAGAACATGTATGATTTTCAATCTTGCTTCTTACTAGCAGGTGGTATATATATAATTGCAATCACTTTGTTGTCCATCTAGTCATCAGTCTATTACCATGGTGACTTTTGTGGCATATTATTCAGCTTCTGTATTGAGGAATGATTTGAAAAGTAACCTTGAAATTTATAATGTTAAGTTGTTCTGTCTACATGATGTAAGCAACTAATTCTCAGATCTGTGAGACAGTCACTATCTGTTGACAAGACTGAGCTATTTTGATTGGCTAATCCACTGGGGATTGATTTTTGTCATTGGGGTAGATTGAGGGAATAATATTATGTTGTATGTAAATCATTACAAATATTTTTCACACTGCTGGTTAACATTACAGGTTTTTAAAAAGAAAAACAAAGACTCATATTGAGCTAGAGATCTCAAGGTCAATAAGGTCAAGGTCACATGTAGCAATAATTATACATGTACTTTACTTTGTGAAAATTATAGGTTTTCCAATGTTTGACAAAAGATATCAGCACAAACAAACAAAAAAACCTGACACAAAAAAATGTTTCATCTATAAATTCATAGATTTCAATTGGGTAATGTACCCATTGTGTTTCTGTAAGTTTATAGGCAATAAAAAATGAAAAATAACACTTTATAAATTAGTTGCGTCATATAAATTAACCATGAATATATTTTGTAGGTTACATAGTATAAAATGGATGAAGTGATCAGTGTTTTTGTACCTGGATATAAAGATCAAATATTTCACTCACTTCATCAGTTACAGCAAAGGGGAGTTAACTGTGATGTTACACTCCAGGCAAGTGATGGCACTGCAAATATACACAGCATTATCTTAGCAGCCAACAACGAAAAACATATCTACAGCAAGATATCACAAACAAATGAAAAACTCAAAATAGACTGTACAAAATTCAGAATTCATGTGATTGAAGCTGTGGTGATATTTTTATACTCTGGAGAATTAGTTATTGAGGAGAGATTTTATGATGATCTTGTGAAACTTTGTGAAGATTTAAATTTAAGCTCTGCATATGACACACTTAAACAGCAATGTCCTGTTACAGAACGACATGTAATTCCAAATAATAAATGTGATGGCAGTTTCAAAGAGGTAACACATATTAAAAAAGAGCCATGTTCTCCTTCTGATCTTAGTTATGGATCTTTTCAAAGCACCAATACAATTCCTGAGGTAGGAAATGCTGATGTTCCAACTACACAAACCAAAAAAGTTTGTGGAAAGGACAATCTTTATCCAAAGATGACCAACATTAAAAATGATCAGGGAACCAGTAGTGATGAAAATGACATGGAAACCAGTTCATTTGAAAACGACAGTATCAGTGCAATACCCAGGGGAAATGATACTATTCAAGCAGCACAAGTAAAAACAGTCAGTGAAGGGAACAATTTGTTTCTGAAGGTAACTGATATTGAAAATGATCAGGGAACCAGTAGTGATGAAAATGATATGGAAACCAGTTCATTTGAAAATGATAGTACTAGCAACTCAGGACCCTCTAGTTCTTCTCCTGGTGGACATTTTTTAAATCATATTGAAAAAATTGTTAGGCAATATGTTTACAATGAAGAAACAAATCAAAAAGAAGAGGTATGCACAAAAAAATCTGACAATGGTTCAAAAAAGAACTCTATAAAAGGCCAAAATAAAAAGACTTCAGTGAAGAATGGTACTAAGAGATCTTTAGGTTTAGTAAGTTCAGATATCGATGAAAAAACAACAGCGAAGAAGAAGAAAAGGACGTCGACAAGGAATTTGAGAAAGGAAAAGGATGTGATCAACAAAAACCAACGTGATGTAAATGATGACAGTAATGACAGGACTAAAGATCTGGAATCTGATATCACAGAAGATTCATTAACGCCTAAACCTTCATGGAGAAAGTGTGTCAAGTGTAACTTAGTTTATCCTACATTTGCAGAATGGGCAGATCATATGAGGAATCTTCACAAGCCCTATCCCTGTGAACTGTGTGATTATATTGGTGTAGAGCCATGTCTGTACGCTTCTCACATGTACAGTCAACATAGAGTTGTTATTGACCCAAAAAGATATCCATTGGTTCAATGTAATGTCCAGGTATGTAACATGTACAGTCAACATAGAATTGTTATTGACCCTAAAAGATATTCATTGGTTCAGTGTAATGTCCAGGTATGTAACATGCAGTCAACATAGAGTTGTTATTGAACCTAAAAGATATCCATTGGTTCAGTGTAATGTCCAGGTATGTAACATGTACAGTCAACATAGAGTTGTTATTGACCCCAAAAGATATCCATTGGTTCAATGTAATGTCCAGGTATGTAACATGTACAGTCAACATAGAGTTGTTATTGACCCTAAAATATATCCATTGGTTCAGTGTAATGTCCAGGTATTTAACATGTACAGTCAACATAGAGTTGTTATTGACCCTAAAAGATATCCATTGGTTCAGTGTAATGTCCAGGCATGTAACATGTACAGTCAACATAGAGTTGTTATTGACCCTAAAATATATCCATTGGTTCAGTGTAATGTCCAGGTATTTAACATGTACAGTCAACATAGAGTTGTTAATGACCCTAAAAGATATCCATTGGTTCAGTGTAATGTCCAAGCATGTAACATGTACAGTCAACATAGAGTTGTTATTGACCCTAAAATATATCCATTGGTTCAGTGTAATGTCCAGCTATGTAACATGTACAGTCAACATAGAGTTGTTATTGACCCTAAAAGATATCCATTGGTTCAGTGTAATGTCCAGGCATGTAACATGTACAGTCAACATAGAGTTGTTATTGACCCTAAAATATATCCATTGGTTCAGTGTAATGTCCAGCTATGTAACATGTACAGTCAACATAGAGTTGTTATTGACCCTAAAAGATATCCATTGGTTCAGTGTAATGTCCAGGCATGTAACATGTACAGTCAACATAAGAGTTGTTATTGACCCCAAAAGTATCCATTGGTTCAGTGAAATGTCAAGGTATGTAACATGTACAGTCAGCATAGAGTTGTTATTGACCCCAAAAGTATCCATTTGTTAAGTGTAATGTCCAGGTATGTAACATGTACATGTACAGTCAGCATAGAGTTGTTATTGACCCCAAAAGTATCCATTGGTTAAGTGTATTGTCCAGGTATGTCACATGTTCATGTTCATGTACAGTCAACATAGAGTCTTATTAACCTAGAAAGATATTCATTGGTTCAGTGTTATGTCCTGGTAAGTCACATATTATGTACAGTCAACATAGAGTACTCAGTTGTTAATGACCCCAAAAAATATTCATTGGTTTAGTGTACCATGGTGTACTACATTTGTATGTACAGTCAACATATTAGTTATTGGTCTAAAAAGATCAAAGTCCAGTTACATGTAACATTTCTATTGATATTTACTCAGAAGGATTTCACATTATTTCATGTGATTTCAAGTAAGCTCACACAAAATTTGTACAAAAAAGTGCAAAATTGTTTTTTACACTGAAAAATATCCCTCAAGGTTTCTGTGTGACATCCTGATGAAATGTAAGAAATAGACTCAATTAAATCAAGAGAAAATATTGTTTTTATAATTTTTTGCAGGGATGCACATATAAAAGTTTAAGTAGAAATATGAAGGATCATATGAGATGTCATAAGTATAAAAAAGAGAAGTTAGTATGTCATGTTTGTGGTATGGAGTTTACATCAGAAGGAGGCTTACGATCTCATTCCTCTTTTCATAAAGAAGAAGAAATGAAGTTTAAATGTAAAGAATGCGATAAAGTGTTTGGATGGAAACATGAACTTAGGGTGAGTGTAAACAGTAAAAGTCAAGTTGATGGACTTTTGTGTTGCCTGCAAAGCTTCTACAACGGGATATCCCTAGCTGTTCTGTCATCTAAGTGTCTTCTGCACTTGCATCATCTGCTGTCTTTCCTAGATCTTGCCTATAGTAATACATGGTCATAAAAATTTTGAGAACAATTAATGTACTCAGATTCAGAAATAAGCCAATAAAAATTCTGAATTAGGTGTTTCAAACACACATTTTGTACTCCTAGCACTGAGTAAAGTTTATGACAGAGATCCCTGCAACCCTTCTTTTAAAAACATTGCTAAACCACTTATATGTATATATAACTTTTCTTACACATTTTGGTACACAGACTCTTGTACGCAATTTTTTTCAATTTAATTGTCCCCCGTGCAAGGCGTTGCAGGGGGACATAGAAATGCTGGGCGTCTGTCTGTCCGTCCGTCCAGTCTTGTTAGCGCTCTCACATGTTCAATTTTTGGCAGATTTTTGTAAAACTTATATCATAGGTTTATATCAGCAATGTCTCGGACAAGTTCAAAAGTCAACATGGTCAATGCCGATCAATAATTCGTTAGTGCTCTCATGTGTACAATTCTTGCCAGATTTTTATGAAATTTATATTATAGGCTTATATCATCAATGTCTTGGGTGAGTTTGAATATCTTTGCCGATCAACAGTCAAGGATATAACTCTATAGGGTTATTATAGAAAAATAACATATGCTTGTTATTGTGGACAAAAAAATCAAAGAACTGTGATAACATATGTATGTTACATGTTTCAAAGGGACAATATACATCATTAGTTTTGTTAAAATGTATACAAGTTCTATTGATATTGCTACTGTCTTTATGTATACTTAACTATAGAAAGATATAACAGTTCATAGTTTGCCAATCATGCATATCACACCGTTGTTATTACAGAAAAAATATGCCTGTGATAACTAAAGGGTGTTATTATAGCTTCTCTACATCACTTCAAAGCATTTGCTCAGACATAGATCGATCATGCTCAATTACAATGTATTTTAATTTATTGTAAGAAGTAATGATCAGAGCATGTAATGAGGTTCTGCGGCAAGCTTCCCAGTAATTCCCAAGTGTCTCATTTAATAAGTTACATGCCTTTAATAACTAAGCCTTGTTATTACAGCTAAGTTAATCACTTAAAAGCCTGGTCTCATTGATTTACCATGGTTAATGAAAAATGTATTAATCTAAATTAATAGTTAGTTATCAAGGCTATGCATTTAGTTTCTGTGCAAAGTTTCAAGAGTTCCCTAGAGCCCACTAAAAATAAAAATACTTATGATTTATTTTACAAATAACAAACATATGTTATTACAGATTTAGTAAATTTAAGGATTAAAGAGTAGACAACTCATAAAAGTATCTGTAATAACACATGCAAGTTATTTTCTGTAATAACCCTATAGAGTTATATCCTTGACTGATCAATCATTTTTAAAAGAGATATGCCCCTTGGAAATATTAATTATATGGAAAATTGCGTCGTTAGCACTCTCATCATGCTCATGCATGTGTACAATTCTTGCCAGAATTTTATGAAATTTATATAATAGGTTTATATGATCTTATATCAGCAATGTCTTTGACACTTTCAAAAATAAGTGCTGATCAAATATTTTTAACAAGTTATGCCAGTGGAAATATTAATTATATTGGAAATTACATTGAATTTGCTCTGAAGCATTCATTTAATTCTCTAAGATATTAAATATGAGCAGTTTTAAAGAACAAAAAAAAAAGTGTATTTTTAAGTTATTGCCCTTGATCCTTGGATAAATAAAATATGTGAAATGCGGTGGACATTGGAATTCTGTTCTGTAATCTTTATGATGTTGATTTTTGAGGTTTCCTGTAGACTATAGTTTAAATGTAGTTCAGTAAGTCATGTAAGTATACTCACTTCTCTAGTGTAAACATATTTAATTTCTGAATTTGTCATTATGAAATTATAATACAAAGTATTAATAATAAAATAAGTAATAGACAAATGGATTTCAGAACAGCATCTTAGACAACTTTGTATATATATTTCTTTCTCTTCTCTAATAAGCAAGTAACGATTCTCAATCATTATCTTTCTGTCAAAGTATTTGGTTTAAGACAATGTTATATTACATCTTTTGCACATTTGTTTGGCATTTATATGTCTGTTTGTTGAGCCAAGAGATGAATGTCTTGATTTAAATCATTTCCATATTGCATCTTGGGAAAATCAAAATGCACATAAGACATGTAAGAACACAGACAGATCTACTTGGTAAATGTCTAGCTGACATAATGACCTTGTTGGTTCAAAGATGCAGGAATCAGGTTTGCCCATAAAACATTTTGATGATGTCAGAAATCAGAGTATAGTAGAAGAGTTTTTCTAGTAATGGAAATTAAATGAATCAACGGTATTCACTTACATTACTGATAGAACTCTGATATGACAAAAGTTACACAGACTTCAGATTCACTTTTTTCAGGACAAGATATTTTGTATGTTTAATTTTGGTTTGTATTATTCATCACTTCTTATACACGTACATGTAATGTCAATCACCTCAAGTGATATGCCTAACAGGTCCCTTTTCAATTTAGGAATTTTGTCGTAAGCAGATATTTCATTAATCTTCCAAACATTTTCTTAAAAGATTATAGACAAGAGCCAAAACATAATGGTATTTGTTTCTTTGTAAAATAGCTGTTCTTCAATTGATATGCGAGGGTGTGTAGTTTTGAAATTAAAATGCATAGTTTTAGTTTTTTCTATTTTCAGAAACACTTGGCTGCTGAACACAAGAATTTTAATCTTTGTCACTTGTGTTCATTCAAGTCAAAGAATAAAACATCACTGATTGTACACCTACATAATAGACATAAGGAACCAATTCCAGAGAATATGAAAACGTAAGTACACCATGTACAATTGAAGAGTTCTGAGATATTTCAAAGAGGAGCGGTACGAGGGGGTCTCATCCCAAATTCCTTAGAAAATAAGTAACAAGTCATGAATTCCAGTGAAAATAATATATCCGTTCCAGCATCATGATAAAATTAAATCCCAAATTCCTGACACTAATTAACTGACTTTTCTCTAATTCTGGTGAATTAAACAGCTCACTCCCAATTTCCTAAAAAAGGTCCACTCAATTGACAAAAACCTTCATATTGTGACTCGTTTCTGTCACAGTCTTTACAGTGTGACCAGATTGCTTCCCTTAGAAAATGTAGTAGATACTTAGCCAGCCGTAAGCGGTTGAGCTAGGGAAGTACTTCTTTAGCTCAGTCGGTTAAAGGGCTGCCTTGTAACACAGAGTTTTTTGTCTCGATAGAGACATTGTGAATTTCTCTTAAGAATCATGCTCTCCGGTTAAAACAGTATCAATATACATGATATACAGAAAACGTGATCATTGTTGATGATCTGTACATATATTGTCAATAAAAGGAGATATGGGGTTATACATTAATGAGACAGCCACGTCACAACATATGACAATAAGTATGAATATCTACTGCTACATATGTCATAGCAAGTGTGATTAGATTAGAGACAAAAATTAAACAATGCTCTCATAAATCTTTAAATTTTATTCCATTTCCTTCTACAGATACATGAGATAGTTAAATAGGCTTCCCCATTTCCATTCTCAATTTTATTTATTATACCGGTACACAAGGGAATAAGGAACAAATGGGAGTACTGTGGATACATTTATTTTTGTTGATTGAAAGAAAAATGTTTTTTTTGTGGATACTTGATTTTGTGGTTTTGAAAAGTCTGCATACAAAACTTTATATGATTTGTACTTCTTTGATAATCTTAGTTCGTGGTTTTACCAGTACCAGTGAAATCCATGAAATTTGGTACCCCACGAATATTCATCATATTGAAGGGACATTAGCTATGAGATATAAAAAAAATTAGAAATTAATTTTTTTTGTTCAATCAATAATGAAAGTGAAATAGTGAAATAATAATTAACTTTTAGCAGCTAATTTGGTTTAATTTTGTCAAAATAAGCTAAGAAACATTGCAGATGAATTATTCACTTTCAAGTGAATAATTCAACCTCATTAAATCCGTTTTCATGTGACCTTCAATTTAACCCCTTAACTGGACATGGGTCACACATGTATTCAGCAATTCAAAGGAAAAGAATGTCAACATTGAAAGTCAAACAATGATGAACCATTTGGTTGACTGATTCTATCCACAAAAAATCATTCTTATACAGGTAAAAACGATGATAAACATACTTTTTAACAATATGAAATCAAACAGACCTTGAAAAATCCAATTGCACATGTTCGTTATCTTTTTATATTTATGTTTATATCGGGTTATATGATAGTCCGAGGTCATCTCGATGGTTAATTAGGTGACGTCTAAACAAAAAAACACACGAAATGTTGATACATATTATCTAGTCCATGCATTGTTAATTGTTTATTTTAGACTTTTTGTAATTTGGATATACGAGGGAGTGGACAGGGGGGTACCCTTCTCCCACCTTCCGCCCCCTATCTCCCACCTCCCACTTTTAGAATCTTTTTTTCTCTCCCACCTATTTAAGGTCTCCCACCTCCCAACCCCCCTTCTCCCGTAAATCCACAGTATGAGTCAAAATATTTTATGAAAATTATGACAGATAATAAACTGTTATTACACTGCCTCTCATGCTTTGGTTTTTTTTTCAGATTTAAGTGTGACACATGTGATTTTTATTGTTTTTATCCAAGTTATTTAAAGACACACCAACAAGAAAATCATTCAGGTATTTATATAAAATAATCAAATGTGGTTTTAGATTGTTATATTTTTGCTGAAATAAAAATGTGATATTTCAGCATTAATTTCTAATGATTAATTTCTTGGATCTGGGAAAGAATGCCTTATTTTTAGGGAATTCAAGATTCAAATTTTATTATTCAGGGAACTGGGGATTACACCCTTCCTATTTTAACAAAGGCCAACTTTAAAACACAGTTAATTTATCTACTTATCTATCAACCTGATGTGAGCATGGTGTCAATAACTAAACTTAGAATATATTGGTTCCTCATAACGTCCAAAGGTATACACAGATGTGCCGCTGGAATGGGTCACTTTTTATCCTAATAGAAAGACATGTAAACTACTTATTCTTCAAAACAACTTTCACAGCAATGTCTTAGACATTTTCGAAAATAAGTGCTGATTAAATACTTTTAACGAGTTATGCCCCTTGGAAATATTTATTAGTCCCCTATCGACGAAGTCGAAGGGGACTTTAGGTTTGCACTCCGTCCGTCTGTCTGTCTGTCTGTCCAGCTGTCAGTCCGGCAAATCAGTTTTCCAGACTTTTTTTCTTCGTGCTTGAAGATATTGATTTGATATTTGGTTTATTGATTTATCATGACAAGTTACAGGTCAAGTTCAATTTTCACGATTTTAGCTTTTCTCTTTGTTCAGTTAAAGCCCTTTCCCTAGAAATAAATTTTTGATGAAATACTTATTAATTAGTAGATTTCTGTCAAAGGGAAATAACTAATTTTTTAAAAGACATTTTTACCAGATTTTTCTTTGGTAAATTGTTTGAAGAATTTAGTGGTAGGTTTGTTTGTCATTCTTGAAGATATTGATTTGATAATTAATATATAGTTTTATCATGACAAGTTACAGATCAAGTTGGAATTTTGTTCCAGTCTGATAATTTTTTGCAGAGTTATGGTCTTTGGACATAGAAAATTCACTTAGATAATCAGTTTTCAACAGTTTTTTTTGGTCATGCTTGAAGATTTTGACTTGATATTTTTATTTAGTTTACACCATGACAAGTTATAGATCAAGTTAGAATTTCGTTCCATTACAATGAATTTGTAACCGGTAGGGGACTTTGTATTGCCATGCAATACTAACAGAATGCTTGTTATAACGGAAATCACATTGCATTTGCTCTGAAGCCTTCATTTCTCTAAAAGGTATTTATAAAAAGTTTTTAAAGAACAATAAAAAAAGTCCTTTTTTAGTTATTGCCCTTGTATCTTGGATAAATAAGATATGTGCAACGCAGGGGACATTGGAACTCTGTTCTTTCATATTAAATGTAGTTTGTAATTTTGATAATCTGAATTCTAAGATGGCAGCCGCTGTAGAACTTATAGTTGGATAGGAAATACATATAACTGGTTTGTAGATTTGATTTTTTACTATGTTTTAATGATGATGTGATGTTTTACTAAAAAAAAATTAAAATTTTAGTGTCAAATTTTAAATTGTGTATGCCTACTTCATTTTGAACTATTTGGAATTTAATAGCTAAGTACAAAATATCATCCAAATTTCTGTATGCATTATTAAAGCTATTTTTCAGGTGTTGTTTAGATTTAGTTTTCTAAAATTTGGCTTTATACAATTTTTTCTATTTTTTTTGCAGATACCTTAGATTTCCAGTGCAATATTTGTCCTAAAAAGTTTAAAACCAAGAAAAGTTTAAGAGGTCACTATAACAATACCCATGGATGTAAGTATTACAAGTTTTGTCTCCCTTTATAATCACACTGGATAAAACCCCATCACTGTAAATGATGATAATTACATTACATGTATGTTTCATCAGAATGCTTAATAATGATTGGCTGACAATAATCGTGAGGCACTCCAAGATCAAATTTTATCTCTGTATAACATGCAACACCTATGACTACATGTGCTATCTGTGACAATGTTAAAACATTGCAAAGAAGAACAAACGAAAAGCTTGGTATAACTCTTAATTTCATGGTTGTAGCTTCAAAATGTAATTATAAAAAATTGAATGCTTCTTTTTATAAATTTATAAGGTTGTAAAAGCATTGATCATTTTTAGAATCTTCGCTCATCATACAAAAGGTGCTTTGGTCAACGCTTTTACACCCCAATAAAATTATAAAAGGAAGCATTCAATTCTTAAATAAAATATTTAAAAAACTGAATGAAGAGATTAACGCTTGGTCCAAAAGGCTTTGTTACCAATTGCCGTTGCAAATGTACTTGTAGTCTGTGGTTGTCCGTCATTAATAAGATTTTCACAATTTTATCTTCTTATCTGAAACTATCAAACCAATTTAAAAAGTTGATCATGTGTGGCAAATGTGATGACATGTTGGCAAATAGTTCCCATTGAAACCCTATAGAAAATGACACTTTTATCTTATTCTCTGAAGCTGCTTAGCCAACTTTAACCTGAAGTTGCAGGAAAAATGTATGGAAAAATCTACAAATTATCCTTATTTGTAAAGATAAGATCAAAAACATATCTGCCAGAGGCAATCTTTATTGACCAATTGTTAAAAATCTGCTCCCCTGAAATTATAAGGGAAATGTTTAAAAACTAAAGCTTATTGATGAAAAAAATGCTACCCAAAACTAAATCTGTCAGAAGTTATCTTCTCTTGAGCAAGTAAGTGATTCCAGCTCCTAGGTGTTTTAAGGAATTTAAATGCTAAAAGAAAAAAATAAAGGAACAATATTTGGACAAGCACAATTAATTCAAATGAAAGACCTAATTGTATATGCAATAATCAAGACAACCTAAACTTAATATTTAAAAAAAAAAATAGTTTCATCTTTTAAAAATAATATTTTTAATCAAATAGAGATATTTTTCCTTCATTTTTAACTGTTTTAACCTGAACAAATATGATATAACTTTAAATTGTTATATTCTGGCAGACACATCATTTTTTACATTGTATCATGTCACTCATGTGTAGATAATTTGTTTTTAATGAAGAATGACCTTGCAGTCAGAAGAGGGTGCATGCATGCTCTAAAATGCCCAACACAATTATGAATTTGATGAATACAATTTGGCTATCCCTTCTTGAATTCTCAATTTTTTGTTTCAGCAAACTTTTATAAATGTGACAAGTGTAGTTACACAACAAGATCACAGACGACACTACAAGTCCATCAACAGAGTACACATTCTGTAAGTATTCGTTTTATAAAGGTGACAATTATAGTTTCTCATAACAATTTAATAAGCTGAATTTTGTAGTTAATTGATTTGTTGCTAAGGTTTAACTAAAAAAATATTTTAATTTAGGTGTACATGCTTTTTACTTTTTGAGCATTGAAATTAGTAATCTGTTTCGACTAGGTCATGAAGGTAAGAAAAAAACAATTTGGTAAATTTGTAGTTGAAAAAAAAATTAAAATGTGTCCATCTGCTGGAATTTATTTTCCCAAACAAATTTATAAACTATATCCCCTTGAGGTTAAATGGTTGTTCCCTTAAAAGAGGAACAATTTGGAGCTCTTAACTATGCAGTCTGTTGCATGCTACCAGGGAAATATACACTGTTTACTTTTAAGACAGGAGACATCTGGGCATGGCAAGATTGCTCTTGCTTTTGTCAATGGCAAACAAATGAATAAATAGCTTGTTCTTGGCCTATAATGTGTTGGAATTTAAGTGTTGTTCCCGTCTAATTTCCCACTTTGATTAAATGAATAATTATGAACTTATCCTTTCCTGAATCACATATTGAGTCGAGACACAAAATAAATGGAAATTCCCAGAATCATGGCTTTTGCACTATGAAATGCATAGTCTCCTCATTGCTCAAGCTTATATACAAGGTAATGCAAGTAGAACTCTGAAATGTAATCAGGAATGTTGACATTTAATGAAATGACAGAACTTAACAATTTGTGCTGTTTTTATAGGGCAGAAGAACCAATGAAAATAGGTACATGCATAAATTTAATAATATTAATATTAATACATTTTAAGGATAATATTTGCCTTAAGAGGATTTTTAAAATGATGATTTGTATTTTCAGTGGAACAAACCACAAATTGAGGCAATGGGGATTGGCTAATTAATTAAAAGAGAAATTAGTTTACCTTGATTTTTATAATGACAATATGTATTTGTAAATGGAAAAAACTAAGTTTATGTGGTCTTTTGGATATGTTATATACCAGAAAATGTTCTCCAATTTATTGTACCTGGAAACACTTATCACATTTCAGTGTTGCAGATCCTAAAAACTGTGAACAAAAATGCTGTCTTACAAATTTTTTGTGAATTTAAACCGTGAACATGTAAATATATTTTTTAAAAGAAGTCAAACAGGATCTTCAAACTGTTAGTGAATTTTTCAGCTAAATGATAATTTTATCATACTTCATGTCTAGGCTAACAGAACATGTAATTACAGGTAATGAAAATTATTTGTTATATATATTACTCAGAGGATGAACATTGATTGATATACTCTATGTTTAAAAGGGGCCTCAGTAAGGTGGAGTGGTCTAAATAGTTGAACTACTGTTTCACTAGTCTGTCAACACTGAGGTTGTGAGTTCGAATCCTGCAAGTAGCAGGTGGGTTCAACTCAAATCTTAATTAGACTAGGATTGTCAGTTTTCCTACCAAAGGTTGTTGGATCTCTTGAGGCACTCTGGCTTCCTCCACCAATAAAAACTGACTGCTACAAAATAGCGCAATAGTGCTGAAAGTGGCATTAAACACCAATCAATCAATCTTTGTTAATATATTTGTTTTACAGGAGGCACGGCCATATGCTTGTCATCTGTGTGAGTACAGTTGTAAATTAAAAGGAAATTTGAACAGTCATTTGAAGAATATGCACAAATTAGAAATAGTCTCCATTAATAAACTACATGAAAAGGTTGTAAAATCAGGTACAGGCTTTGATGAATATATGGAGGCTAGAAGAAAACTTTATGAACCAGGTGTGAACCCAGCAGACTTGATAGTAACAAGACCAATAGAAGAGAGCTGTGGTGTTCCAGCCCCAGAGGATAATACAGAAGAAGAGTACCAAGATTTAACTGAATAGTTTTAGAAAATGTAATTTACATTTACCATAAACTCATAAATTTGAGGTTTACATGTTCTAGAAAGCAACAAAAGGAACTATTTTATGAGCTCACCTGGCTCTAAGTGCCAGGTGAGCTATTGTCATAACTTGGTGTCTGTCATTGTCGTTTGTCTTTGTCGCTGAAAAAAACCTTAAAAATTTTCTTTGAATCTACCAGACTAATTTCAATTAAACTTGGGCTGACTGATCCTTAGGGTACCTTGTTTAAAGTTTGTGTTCTTTATTCCTGTCTATTAACAAACATGGCTGCCATGGTTAAAAGTAGAACATGAGGGAAATGACCCAAACCATTCAATGAATCCTTATGGAGTAATTGCGCTTAAATGACCACTTAAAGAATCAGCAAAACAAGATCTAAAAAAAATCAAAATGACTCTGTGGAAGAGTTATTTCCCTTATAAGACAATTTATTGACTAAATTGCTTATTTTTAACTAAGATCTTAAAAACTGTTGTAGCTAAATAAAAACTGTAAACAGCAAAAATGATCAGCAGTACCAGATCTACAAAAATGGCAAATGACCAAAACCATTTTATAATTCCCTATACAAGTTATTGCCCTTAAATGAAGTTTTTTTTTATTAATTTTCTTGTTTTTGATTACACTAGATAGATAAAAACTGTAAACAGGAAAATTGATAAGTAATACAATATCTACAAAATTGCCAAAATGACTGAAACAATTGAATGACTCCTTAAGGAGTTATTGCACTTGACAAATTTTTGTGCTTTTGTTTATTACCTTTATAATTATAATATATACAGTGATATATATAGAAACTGGTATTCGTGATCTGAAATACAAGATCTACAAAATTGCTGATATGACCAACACCATTGGTTGACTCGTCAAGGAGTTATTGCCCTAACATCCTAATGTTTGACCAATTTATGTGTTTGTCAGTTATCTCGAAAACAGTAAAAGATGTGAAAAATTTGTAGATCTACAAAGATGACAATATGACTAGACCATTGGATGATTCCTTATAAGAGTTATTGCACTTAAATGACGATTTTTTTACTTATTTTCTTGTTTTGAAATACCATTAATAAATAGAAACTGTAAACAGGAAAAATGATCAGCAATACAAGATCTACAAAATTGCCAAAATGACCGTAACTATTGATTAACTTCTTAAGAAGTTATTGCACTTGACAAATTTTTGTCTTTTTGTTTATTACCTTTAAAATTATAATATATATATAGAAACTGGTATTCGTGATCTGAAATACAAGATCTACAAAATTGCTGATATGACCAACACCATTGGTTGACTCGTCAAAGAGTTATTGCCCTAACATCCTAATGTTTGACCAATTTATGTGTTTGTCAGTTATCTCGAAAACAGTAAAAGATGTGAAAAATTTGTAGATCTACAAAGATGACAATATGACTAGACCATTGGATGATTCCTTATAAGAGTTATTGCACTGAAATGACGATTTTTTAACTTATTTTCTTGTTTTGGAATACATTTAATAAATAGAAGCGGTAAACAGGAAAAGTGATCAGCAATACATGATCTACAAATATGTCAAAATGACCGAAATTATTGTATGACCCTTTAAGGAGTTATTGGACTAAATAGACAATTTTTTCCTAATTTTTGTGTTCTTGATAATTTTCTTGAAAACTACTAAGTATAATAGAAAAGTAGAACAAATAAATCATCAATACAAGATCTACACAAATGCTAATATTAAATAAGATCTACACAAATGCTAATATTAAATAAGATCTACACAAATGCTAATATTAAATAAGATCTACACAAATGCTAATATTAAATAAGATCTACACAAATGCTAATATTAAATAAGATCTACACAAATGCTAATATTAAATAAGATCTACACAAATGCTAATATTAAATAAGATCTAAATGCTAATATTAAATAAGATCTACACAAATGCTAATATTAAATAAGATCTACACAAATGCTAATATTAAATAAGATCTACACAAATGCTAATATTAAATAAGATCTACAAATAGCTAATCTTACCTGATTGCAATAAAGGTAGAAATCAATTTCAAAATAGCATATTTTTAATAGGTGATCCATTCAGTCTCTTAGGAGCCTCTTGTTTGTTAAATTATATAATGTTACCGAAAAACAGATTTGGATCAAGTTATTTGGCAATAAATCAGTAATCCAATTACAAAATAGGACAACTGAAGACATATGGACAAATTAATGCCAAATATCCAGCTCTAAATCATATCTTGTTGAAAGAAAGGAATGACATCAAATTTTTGTTGTTGTTGTTGTTGATAAGAATTGATCTGAAAAAAACTGTGCCAAACTAAAATGATCTTATCTTATGTCAGTTTTAGCCAGAACGTTGCCTCAGCTGAGGTACACATACTGCTTTTATAAAATCAGGAATGTTTTCAATCTGACATATTTTTGAAAAACTTTACTCTTTTTATTTGTCCTTTTATATGTGTTCTCCTTGTGAATATCTGTTTAACATGTCTCTTCAGCCTAGATGAGTATATTAAAGTATGCTGAATCAAGTTCTTAAGTTTTTTATTGTGCTATTTTTAGAAAATTTGATTAGATAAATATCAATCATATACTCTTTAGCATTATCTTTAAAATGCAAAAAAACATATTGTAACATTAGGCATTGATCACTTAAGTTTCACTTTGCATTCTACTTTTTACCTTATTCCAATAGTTGTGCATTTTGTCTCTCCAGACTTTTGGTGCCTAGTGTACTTATTGTAGGTTACTCCAAAAACACACCATGCACACATAAATAAGTTAGTACTAAATTTAGCCATTGCTTATATTTGTCCTGTTTTCCTGTGTTTTAATTCCCCAAAAGCTGTTTTACATCAATATGTATTAGTAAGGATGAGAGAATCTACATATTTTGATAGACTTGAGATATGTTAGTATTAGATAAGAGATATCCAAAAATCTGCTGTTGGCTTATCACAGATTTTGACTTGTTATTGGATTTTGACATTGGAATCAATACTGATCTTACCTCAGGAGCAGGAACTGTTTACCCTTCTGAAAGACAAAGGAATTTACGTCTGGTTTTGTGGACATTTTTGTATACTTTTTTTTGGCTAAGTTTTTGTCTTCCAATTGAGTAGATTTAAAATCACCATGAAAGTTTAACAAAGAATACCTCAACATTTATTTGTTAAATGATTTAAGTTCTCAAAAGTGACCGATCTTCTTAAATATATCAATCAGCAACCTCCATTTAGGGATGCAAAGAATATTAATTGTGAAAGGACATTTAAATTGAATCACCTGTAAAAAAGAGGCTGAAGTTATCAAATGGACATTCTAAACTCATGAGTTAAAGAAAAACCGACAACCCCATGACGAAAATGACCGACTAAAAGACAAGCAAGTCCACAAAACAACATAGAAAACAAAACAACACGGAGGAACACAAACCCCATCATAAACTTGACCTCAGGTGCTCTATAAAAGTAAGCAGATGCTGCTCCAGTAGTGGCACCCATATGCATTGTGTTGTCCATATCAGGAATTCTAATAATAGTTCTTGTGACATTTATATTTATCTTTGAATTGCTGTAATAGGTACTTTATGCAGGCAAGAAGGAGATGACCCCTGCCTTTTATTTATTTGGTTGATATTATTTGATAGTGGTAGCAAGAGTTACCTGGATGACCCAACAGAGAATCGAATTCAGTACATCATATAATCCACACACTTTTTTTTTGATAAAAATTATTGTAGACATTATTTTAAATATAAAACATGTTTTGTTCTATGATGAACACAAGATTAAAATGTCATGACATATACTTTGTTTAACATTTAACATCATCGTCATGAGGTACATTAAGGACATGTTCCATTTGCACCAGTTATGTTGAATATGCTTGGTATAACATCCAATCCAAATATTGGAATTCCCCATGTATTTATGGCCAGTGTCAACCCCAAGATAGCAATGACATTCATTGCTAAACCTGCAGAAGCCTGCAAAATAGAGTTATGAAATTAAAATATAAGCAATGATTAAAATACTTGAGACTACATAAGATGATATACAAATAGAATAAAGCCTGAGAAAAACCTGAAGTTGCAGATCTCTATCTTAAAAGTTACACATTACTTAAAAGTCAAAACTGCCTCCCTGAAGTTCCAACGAAAGAACACATAATCTCTATAGTTAACAGTTACATAGCGTTTCTTACTGCTAACAAACAAATGTGAGAGCAAGATGCAAGATTTCGGACACTAATATTATCTGGCATTTTGTAAACTGGAAAATGGATACTAAATTTTACAACACATCCATTGTTAAATAAAAACATTGTATGTTTTGGATTTTTTGTTCACTATGTTAGGTTTTGTTAGTATGGAAAATCCATGATTATTGTTCATATGCTAAAATGTAGAAGTTGACATTATTTCCTATATAAAACTTGATGCAAATAAATAATAGATCTTTTTTGTAGACTACAGTGATTGATCTCGCCATATATTTTCATAGCAGTTATTAGGGCCCCGCCTACTGGCGAGTCACCCTATAGTGGTCAGTCTGTCTGTCGGTAACAAATTGTATCTGCTCTATATCTAGAGAACCGTTATAATTTCATACTTTATAATTGACATGTGTATTAACCAACACCAGAGGGTGTGTCAAAATGTTTTTGCAACTTCTTAGGTCAAAGTTCAAGGTCAAAACTTAAAGTGCTTCATATAAGCTTATCCATACAAATTTTTTACCAAACGTTATTTACAGCGGGGCCCACAGAGATGGCTCCAATCTCAATGATGTCTAGTTTATTTTCTTCTAAAAATGCCTGTACCAAATCAGGAATATGGCAGTTGTTTTTACTTGTTCCATTGATTGATAGCATTTGATTTTGTCAGTTTTTATAAACTTCCCCTTTTTGAATTTGCCTTGGAGTTCAATATTTTTGTTATACTTTTTTACTAACCATATCGGGTATTCTTATAAATCCAGTAGAAAAGACAATGGCGTTTGGTGGTGTTGCCACTGGTAACATAAAGGCAAAGGAGCAAGCGATAGCTGTTGATATCATCAGGTAGAGAGGGTGTTGTCCAAGTGATATTGCCTGAAAACGAAAATGTAAATTAAACCTGTCCCAGCAATGTATGTTCCTTTATTAAACTTATATAATGACGAAGAAGAAAGAAATAGTGTTTACATCCTCGTTCTTGGTCTCTGTAGCATAATTGTATCATTGACAGTTTTACCACATGTTCTAATTTTAAAATTGTCACTGTATTTGCTTTATGCACCGAACAGCTCAGGGAGATTGAACTGCAATTTATATTTGCATCAGATTAAGAACAGGAAATTGTGAAGGTTTAGCACAGCCACAATTTCGTGGAAGCTTACTTGGCTTTTATACAAGGGAATGTTTTTAAATTTGGTCTGTAGCATCAATATCACTTACCAATTCTGCCATGATTGGCATAAGCAGTGTAGCTGTTGCACTGTTACTAGTTATTTCAGTAGCTGCTGCCACAATCAAACAAATAATGAGATTCATCACCCATAGATCCATGTAACTGAACACTGTTAACTTGCATCCTACTAATTTGGAAAGTCCAGAAATCTAAAAAGGAAAAAGTAAAAGGGAAAAAGAAGTAAAAACAGCAAGTTTTAAGACAGATTAACCCCGCCTTTTTCACACACTAGCAAACAATTGGAGAAAGATCTGTGCTAGTTTAGATAAATTTATTTAGTTGGCCTTTGATTTATTTCATTCGAGCGTCACTGGTGAGTCTTTTGTAAACCAAACGCGCATCTGTCATACAAAAGTTTAATCATGGTACCTATGAGGAGTTTATAAAGGTGACATATCTACAAATGTTTGGTTACCTTTCTTATACATTCACATATGTTAACCTCATAACATATATAAAACATCCCAAAAACATGGTGGTCTTAACTAAATAAAGAAATATCACCATCCACGTCTACTTGCGATGTTTTTCTAAGATGCACATTAAAAACAACTAAATTACAGACTTGTAACACATGGTCATAATTTTGTACCTATAATTGTAATATAAATTGCATGTTTTCTTTTGATGTTTTAATGAAATAATTTGCTTAAAAAGTGTGTTGAGAGAAGACCATGGTATATTATCTGCAATTTGATGTTATACCATACTTTGATATCTAAATATGAAACTCAACTTGAATCTAAAGGAAAGAAGGCGGAGCTTAGCTATGGTACAACATATTCATTTTCATGTTATTCCATGGCTGAAGCTCCACCCCATTTTTTGAAAGATATCCGCCTCTGAAATATTAAGGAAACAGAAAAAAAGTGAAAGGTCATGAACATTTATTTGTTTTCATTTTATAACAAAAAGCAATAAATCATTTGTAAACACAACACATCTCAAGAAACAGTAAATAGGATTTTTTTACGAGTTCCCGTAAGTTTGAAAAAAATACTAAAAGTTTCTTCGTTCAGTTTTGAAAAAATAAATAAAAAAATGTTCTAAACAAACTCATCCTTCGGATTCGTTTGTTTAAATATGTTAACTCGTACGAACCATGGTATATATAGTACATACCGAACTCCAAGGAAAATTCAAAACGGAAAGTCCCTTGTAAAATGGCAAAACCAAAAGCTCAAACACATCAAACGAATGGAAAACAACTGTCATATTCTTGACTTGGCACAGGCATTGCCGTATTAAATGTGATTGAAATCTTGATATTCTGCGCCATTACAAAAGATCAAAAAAGAGATCCTATGACACAGCAAAACATATGTTATGTTCATCATTCTTATTTCTGTATTTACTACTATCCTGTGATAATGAAGACTGCTTTCCAAGTTACTAAAAATGGATTTTACTTGGGTATAATGTTTGAAGTCATCCAGCTAATGATCATTCGATTTGGCAGTCGTAACTTAAATTTTATCAATGACATTAACGTCAGTGAAACAAAACAGAGGATACATTCTGCAAACAAAAAAGGCTAGAACCTAACGTCTGGGCAAACTTAACTTGCATAACTGATTTAAGTCTATCAGGTGCTCGGTACAGGGGAAGTTAGTCGATGATGAATCTAGTCAATTAAAAGTAAGAAACTTTTGCTTGTGCAGCTAAAAATCAGGGTCTGGTCGAAGGTCCTTAATTTCTGTATTCTTTAAGTTAGTAGAACATTTTACTTTATCTTTGGAAAAATAAAGCTTATTCTGTAAAACTCAAATGAAAATGATTGTACTATTAAATTTCATATTTTGGTAATATCTGTATTTTGTACATCATTCATCTCTGTAATCAGTATTATATTACATGATACTTTTATTTTCAACAGTTATTCTTTATCCTTTGAACCCTATTATTCTCTATTTTTTATATTTTTTGCTCATTTTTTTCTTTTAGTTATTTGTTTTAGGCCATTATTATCAATTTCTGTAAACCCCATCCAGACCCTCATATATGTCCTTAAGTTTTTTATCGGTATCATTTCCTTTGAAAATATAACTTTTTATAAGATTGTTATGTACATCTTAATGTTAATTAAGAAAAACATCGAAAACATGACTTACTTTACTGGCCTCGGCTAGTGCAAAACCACCTCCAAGAAGTATAATTATACCCCAGGGCACTTTATGTACAGCTGTCTCCCAAGTTAATATTGGTGTGTAATATGGTTTCTTGTCTGAAAAGAGCTACAGATCACCAAATATTCTCAACATTTTTCCAAAACTCTTTGGTGACAGTATTTATAATGTAAAATGGTTGAAAGACATTGTGTGAGAGGGGAGATTTTTCTTTTCACATTTTGGAACGTGTATTGAGATATATGTACTTTTGAATGGACTGATACAATTTGAATAAATTGGAAAGCAAATTATGCGTATTAAAAAACAATTTAAAGAGAAAAGTGCAACTTTTCATATGCATGCATGTATTTAACAGCTTTAATGATTTTTTTGTGTAAGTGTGTCATCGTCCAATACAGACTAGATGTACAATTATTCAGATTTCTACACGTGCAACCGATCTTATATGTTGACTTTTAACACAGTTTATTGCACTTGTTAATTGCAAATTGACCGCGGTCTTTAATGAAATAATTTTTTTCTCATTTAAGCATTTTATGACATTCGGTTTTGTAGGCAGATCTTCCGTATTCTTTGTTAAATCTACGCACGACTTTAGTTGACTTGAGATGATTTTCAGAGGGTATACACGGATATTGTATATACAGTTGACCATATTTTGAGACAGTAAATTGACCTCTTCTGTCGTTTATCCCACAACCTCTTTAAGCCATATTTATAGAGGTAAATGATGAATCAATGACGATACTATTAATTTGTGTCATACATTGTCATAATAACTTTCCGGGTTTGTACTAACATGAGCAACACAACGGGTGCCACATGTGGAACAGGATCTGCTTACCCTTCCGGAGCACCTGAGATCACCCCAAGTTTTTGATGGGGTTCGATTTGCTCAGTCTTTGGTTTTCTATGTTGTGTTTTGTGTACTATTGTTTGTTTGTCCTTTCTTTTTTAGCCATGGCGTTGTCAGTTTATTTCGACTTATGAGTTTGAATGTCCCTTTGGTACTTTCGCCCCTCTTTTTCTAGAACATTCTACCAGCAGAACTAAGACTTGTTGCATTTATATTTGTTTTACATGAACGTCTGATAAGGTGTATTTTTAAATGTACTCTTTAACGAAAATAAAGCTATACCAGATTCCTTATTCCAACAGAATATGTTAGGGAGTTTCCTTGGCAGAACAAACAATGCAATAGCTATTAACATAGCAGCTGTAGAATCTCTGGCATACGGACCTCCCCTTAAAAGAAGTGTTAATATTCAGTTTATTATGTTTCACGCTAAGACCATGTTTTCTTTAAACTGTTTAAGATATATATCGTTGTCTACATCTCATTTTAAAACAAAAACTGAATCATTAAATGTAACAATAGGAACATTGTTAACTCTATATAGCTAGATTAACTTTATAAAAACATCAATGTTATTTTTGACGAAAATAAGACAAAAAAACCTCATTTGCATGAAATATTTATTTTTTGATTTAATTTAATTGCATTTAAAGGTGGTCTAGGGATAAAGTATTTGCATTATAAGGTTATATATACATGCCTGCATTCAATTTTTTTTTCCGAAAATAAGAATCATTATTTATAAGATATGATCTTTTTTTTTATCTTAACCCCAACAAATAGCCCTAAACGGTATGATCAAACTGCTTAAGGTGAACTTGAAATAAAAGGAACTGAGTTGCCAACATAGTTTTCCTTTATGAACTAAAACATAAGTGTCAAAATTTAATGTTCTGAAATTATCAAGTTACGTGTGCAGTTTGAAAAAGGGTGATATTTACAAAAGAGCAACTCTTCCAACATAGTGAGTTCTCTCTATTTAAAAATGTTGAGAGGCATGTTTTTTTTCAGGTTTTCAGAATATATATATATATATATTATACCAATCCTTAACTTTATAAATACTCACTTCACATCAACTTGAAATAGATTTGCCCATCCCCCGAATCCAGGTATCCATCTAAATATCCATAGTAACGCCAAACTTATAAAACATATAAGTACTATAATTTCTCCAAATCTGAAAAAAAGAAGATACAGTCAAATCCGATAGGTTCTTGTAGAGCAGGACCTACTAACCCTTAGGGAGCACCTGAGATCTCCCCCGATTTTTTCTCGGGTTCGTGTTGCACGGTCTTTGGTTTTCTATGTTGTGTGTTGTATATTGTTGTTTGTCTTTTGATCGTTTTTTCGTTTATTGTCAGTTTGTTTTCGACTTATGAGTTTGAATTTCCCTTTGGTATCTTTCGCCTTTTATTTTTCATAAGTCTGTTCATTTCGTTGGAATAACGTTGACTGAATAACATATCGAATACTTTCCCAGTAGCCAACACTCTTGTGCTGACATGAGATACCCAATCGGCAATCCTCGGGTGAATCCGATACTCTCCTTAGATGAAGGTACGGAATCGGTCGAGTTGTGACGAATGATGAGATACCATTATATGTTTTCGTGAACCTAACTGTTCATAAAATATTAAAATCATTGGAAACACTTCAGGTTTTCTCTAAGGCAAAGATGCCCTTAGAAAAATTTGAGAAGTTTTGTTTTAATTGCTCTTCAACCACGTTTACTTATTGATTTGGCCTTCTAAGCTCCACTGATAAGTCTTGGACTGAACGCGCGTAGAAATATATTATTTAACTCTTGTATCTTTGATGATTTTGTACACGAAGAAAGCAGTACAGAAAACTTTACTGTAATGAATGGTGTCATGCGCAAAATAGTATTTGAGAACCATTAAAATATCCAAGGCGTCGCCATTTATAAAAAGCTCAATACATGACAGTTATGTTTGAAAATGTTTTTGTTAAGAAATAAACAAACTCTTTGAAAATGAAAATAACACCTTATATATTTGATGCCGCCAAAGGCCTTTTCTTTATTAATTATCATAAGGAGCTCTCAAACCCAAAAATTGAAAGCCAAATGTGTTTATATTCTTGATAACTTGAGGGTCAATTTGGCCAAAAGGGATTAAACAGAATATCAAAATGCATCTGTGAATTTGCAAGATTCTACGACTCGCATCAATTCCCGTGGAATAATGGGAAATAGTGTTTCTGACAGATTTTGTGCCTTTCAATAATGAAAAAGTTTCTTTTTAATTTTGTGTTTGAATATATATGGGTAGATATTATCTTGCTTTGTGTACACTATATATATATATGAGCTTTGCCGACATTCTTTGATAATCATTCCGTTGTTTTTCTTATTGAATCTTACTACATCACTACATCACGCCCATGTCCAGGATTTCAGGTAAAAGGGGGTGCGACTCTCATAATTTTGATTTGTTTACATGTTTATGCCAGAAATAAGATTTTTCTTCCATTTTAGAATGTGTATACACTAGGGGGAGGGCGCTTAAATCCTTTTGTATAAGGGGTGATCAGCTGAGACATCCAATCGATTCTAATCGCATCCATGAGAAAAAAAGTCGCGACATCTGATAAGTTTCAGAGTCTTTTGATTCAATCAGCAACCCTTTCATTATTAGTTTCAACTTAATTTTTCGGAAAGGGGATGGGGGGATGGGAGTGTGAGGCCGCTGTGTCCTCGTCTGAATTCGCTCCTCACATTACTTTCATAGCTGAGTTAATTATATGAACATATTTACAATTCAACATGTAGTAAATGTTTTTATACATTGAGAAGCAAGGACATTCTTAAAACTTTCTTTGAACAGGAATCTAACTTGCTGTTGTATACAATATAAGAAAACATATTTATAATGATAAACATAATTATGTTTTGTGTTTATGGATAATAATTACGTCATTCGTCCCAACTTCTTTTTCTCTAATTGAATAGCTTTTTGGATAGCCTCTTTCCTTGTTGCATCTGATTTCTTACAGCATCTGAAAGGAATGAAGAGAAGATATTATATTCTATACAAGATCTTCTAATTGTTTTAAATTTTAAAAGTAGGAACATATATTTGGGTTATCGCTTGATTTTGGTTTGACTATCCTTTACCATTTAAAAACGTCGATTGCATGTAAAATTCAATATTCGGTAAAGTGCCCTAAATGTATTCACGCTTAGTTCTCCCTTCTATACGCGATTTCCGTAGTGAAGTTCTAGAGTACCTATTATTTTAACATGCAATTGTAAAGTTAATTTGACTGCCCAAGCTTTATTTTACATATCTTTGTGTTGCTTTATAGTAAAGAAAGGAATTTCTTGAACATGTAGTGTTCTCTTTATTTTGAATGTTTTTTTTTTGTTCAATTTCAAATCGGTTATCTGTTAAGTCAATGAGTTTGAAAGATTTGATTAATTGATAAAGCTAAAACAATGAATAACATTGACATACTTATTTGGTGGATTTTAAACAGGATTTGATTTGTAAATGATTGTTTAAACTAGTGATTTAAAGATTTACAGCAAATGGCTGACCTGAATTAAGTTAGCAATGTTTAAAGTTACTAAGATAAAGAATATGAAAAAAACTTATATCAGAAACAAATTAAAACCTCGATGACCAATAGGATATACTTACAGAGATCGTAGAAAGAATAGCTGTAACCACAGCCAACACAATATCAATATTAAGACAGACAAAGGGAAGGCAAAACCCATCCAATTAGCAAACGTAATCCCACTATCAGCACCTGTTTCATATTTGTCGTAAATTCTGAAAATATAAATAAAGCACCAATGCATTCGTCAAAATCAAACAAAAGGAAACATATTATACATTTCATACATCTAAGTATCAAAGTCAAAATCACCACAAAAAGTAAAACAAAGACTATTCAGCCATACCAATATCTAAATATATTCTGAATGAATAGTTCATGGTAGCCGCTAGTAAGCAGGACATAAAATAGAGAATGGAAATGGGGAATGTGTCAAAGAGACAACAACCCGACCATAGAACAGACAACAGCAGAAGGTCACCAACAGGTCTTCAATGCAGCGAGAAATTCCCGCACCCGGAGGCGTCCTTCAGCTGGACCCTAAACAAATATATATACTAGTTCAGTGATAATGAACGCCATACTAAACTCCAAATTGTACACAAGAAACTAAAATTAAAAATAATACAAGACTAAAAAAGGCTAGAGGCTCCTGACTTGGGACAGGCGCAAAAATGCGGCGGGGTTAAACATGTTTATGAGATCTCAACCCTCCCCCTATACCTCTAGCCAATGTAGAAAAGTAAACGCATAACACTACGCACATTAAAATTCAGTTCAAGAGAAGTCCGAGTCTGATGTCAGAAGATGTAACCAAAGAAAATAAACAAAATGACAATAATACATAAATAACAACAGACTACTAGCAGTTAACTGACATGCCAGCTCCAGACTTCAATTAAACTGATTACTATTCACAGTCTTTGTGGCGTTCGTTTTGTTCAGTCTAGTTTTCTGCGTAGTTTTGATTTTCTTTTCCTCGTTTGTCTTCTGACCATTATAGTGTCCGTTGATTTTCGACTTATGAGTTGTGAGTATCCATTAGTATCTCCTGTCACTTTTGCAGAAAGTCTAATTCAATGTATTGCACATCAAGGCAACTTAATGTTATTGAATGAAGAGCACAGCTTTTATGATTTTTATCAATGTATTTTGCCCTTACACTCTTACAGACCATATACAATTTAATTTTTTGCCATGGGTTTGTCTGTTTCTCGTCGATTTTTGAGTTTTGATTCTAGCTTCCGAATTTTCCGCCTCTTTTTTTTAACAAGATTTGTTTTTATAAAATTTCCGTCATCTGTATGGAAAGAACACATTTATTTACTACAAAATCTGGTGGCAGTGTTTTACTAGTCTCAAAACAATCTGATAGGTAGATATATCAATGTCATAAATCTATTCATTGTCACCAATCAAAAGTAATCAACAGATACATAAGACTGCTAGATTTTACTGAAAATAAACATGTACCTGAAGTCGTTTTTACGACGGAGAAAGGATTTAATAAGCAGGAGAACTTCAATGAGTAATTATATATATATATATATATATATATATATATATAGTTGTTCGACCTGCTGGTCAAATGCGTTTTGTTAAAATATACTTTTTCACTCATTTGGTCTTATGGAAAATGTTGTTTGTGCTGTATTTAGACCCCTCTACCAAGACATTTGTTTTGCATGCACACGTATAAAAATTGCGGTTTTTATCCAACGCAATCATAGGTTTGAACGTTGTTTTCAATTTAGACTTGTTTATATATATTTATATATATATACAAGTCTAAATTGAAATATTTATATATATAGATAATAAAAAAAGACACAAAAACCAAAGGACATCAACATACAGTATTCATCAACAAGCAAACGTCTAATTAATTTAGGTTATCAAACTGAGAGTATTGATGCAAGTAACGTTGAAAATATCCTGTTTTGACACCTTATTAATTTTACTAAGTCGCAGTTGTTGTCCAAATCAAGGAAAAGAAAACTTAATTTGTCTCCACTACAAGCGGAAGATAACGGTCAAACGATATCATTACTACACCCGTAGAACTGTTGCAGTACTTACTTTAACCTAGCGATTAGAAAGTCATAGTTCAATAACTTCATAGTAATCAAGCAGCAACAACTTATCAAGAAAATTGTGATAGAAAACGCAAGCACAAATATCTTTCAAATAAGGCTATAACTCAAGTACATACTAGTATTTAATTTGCATGTAATTCTGCTCAACAAAGTAATTAATGATACCTTTGTGAGTTAACATTGTAATATTGTAGAATCATGATTACCATTCCTGAAGATTATATTATGATAAATAATGCACAGAAACATAATTAAAAAGAATTTAGAAAGTAGGGATCAAATAATCACAACTTCTCTGCAGTGTATTCCTTTAACTTTACTTAGCTTGAAGACTCGGTACCAGTTTTACTGGACCAAATTTGATGATAACAATTATAGAGTATGCGTTCGGAAAGGCTGGGTACCAGCCTACTTACTTGTCAGCCTGACCCTGCAAGATAAGATTAGGCGGTGTTCCTGTCAGCGTGGCAATACCACCAGCATTTGCTCCGTAGGCAACACTTAACGCCAGACCTTTACCAAATCTTTTCAACTCCTCTTCTCTTTCATGGTCAATTTCTCCTTCATTAATCTGTATATCATCAACAGACACTGGTACTCCATTAGCGCCAGGGCTTGTTTCCATGCTTTTCTTCTGTAATTCATATTGTTCTGTTACATATGCCAGATTATCTTTGCCTAAAACGATTGCAACAACCTTTGCTTATCGCATATACATTTATACAAATGATAATTTTGAGCATCTTACGTTACTTTGTTTAGTTTATGGTATAACAAATATTATTACATATACTAGGAAACATAAATTATGTTTCCAATTTTTTATGTCTTTCCCTTAGTTAACCTTAGATGAAGGAAGTGATCAATATGCAAGTTTTTTTCTATGATGAGTTTGAAATAAAGTAAACGTGCGTCTGTGATTGCATATTAAATGGAAGTTAACTGGACAGATGAATGATTATATCCATTTCAATATGAAAAAGGATATGCTGAAGAACTTAAAAGACGGTCGAAACAATTAGTTAAACGTTGTTTCATACAAATGAATGACAAACTTATACGTAGCTACACATATTTTGGTTTTAGAATGAACAATTAATATTTTCTACTTCTCTGATTCGAACAAAAGTTCTCTGAAACATATATCATCCAGTTGGTTGATTATTTGATTGACAATATATTTCTTACAATTGGTAGATGTGATTTTATATTAAAAGGTCGGCTAACAATATCTTCTCTTTTTCATTTGAAATAAAGAATACAATTTAAACAAAATCTCCTTCATGTCTAGTCTTACATATCATGCTCCCATTGTGAGTGCCTGCATTCATGGCATTATCGATCATGAATTCCTAGATAAAGAGTTGCACGTTGGTATTATCCGCCACCTTTTTCGAAAGTTCTCCTGAAGCACTCATGATTAATGGATAATCTACGAAACAGATGACTGCAGATATATTACAATAGTAGTTAACAAAATCCCGACGTTTTCCCTAGTTTATGACAACACTGAATAAAACTAGGGGATTTAAAGTGAATTTTTGTCGCTCACCTAAGTCTATGTGCACCTTCCTCAATGGACAAAAACAAAACAAAATGGGTACAAAGCGCCATTAAAGAGCAATAGCGCTAATAAAGAGTCGACTTGGATGTGTTTGTAAATTTATTCTTGCTGATCAATTTTACTATTTAAATTATCTATCTATAATAGTTTTTAATATAAGAGGCTAAAAAATGGTAGAAATCGTCATTTAAGGGCAATCTCACTCATTCGTAGATCTTGTCTTGGTGAACCTTTTCGATTTTTCAAGTTTCTCTCTATTATAGTTTTTTAAAAGAAGATAGACAAAAAAATTTTAAAAATGGTAAAAGTTTTCATTTAGGGACAATATCTTCTATAAGAGAACGTCTGACAGTTTTGATGTAACTTGACAGTAGGTAGATCATAACATTCTGAACATTTCTGAACTGTCAGATTTTCTTTAAACAAGCGGTTTTCATGATACAAGACAATACTTGCATTTTACGCTTTTATCTTTTTTTACCATGTCAGCAATGTTGGTTGGCAGGCGGGATCATCGAACACATATTTTACACTGGATACCTCAATAACTTTTGTGGCCAATTAGTTTCAGAGGAGAAGATGTTTGTAAAAACTAAAAGGACTACGGATGCCGACGGACGTCAAGAGATTAGAAAAGCTCACTTGGTTCTTTGAGTCAGTTGAACTTAAAAACGGAGATATGGTATGATTGCCAAAGAGACAACTATCTACCAGAGTCCAAATGACGTTGATGTAAGCTAATATTAATAGTCACCTGATATGAGAAACGCGATGAGAGTCACTAGCGAAGAAGGATATTCTTACTCTTTCTGATAATTTGCGTTCACTCCCTATCGTTGTTGCTAACTTTTAATTTTTTTTGTGTATTTTTTTTGTGTTCGTCTTTGTCCTTTTGTTTAGGGTGGGGTCTGTCTTTCTTCAATTATTGATATTTGTCAAATTGGTATTCTCTTTCCCCTATCATGAACATGTAGCATTCTGAATATTAACTAGGTAATTATAAATAAAACAAACACATCATCGGTAATCTCCATCATATAAAACATGTCCTAGAACTGGTCATCACATTTAAAAAAAATCATACATTGACCAATATGTTTTCTTTATCAAAGAATGATTCATGTCCCAAATGTTCCCATATGATATCTGATTATATATAAACTACCATCAGTGGTGTTTCCTTGAAGTTTTTCTGCTTCTCTAACCTGGTCCATAACAGCCACAATAATGGGAATCATCATAGATGTCGCTGCAGTGTTACTGATCCACATTGATAAAAACCACGTGGGTAACATTAGACCTAACATTAACCTGAAATAAAATCAGTAGTCTACTGATGTTTCTATGGCCATGCGTGTATCTGATGATAGTTATTCTATAAAATGGGAATTAAACGCATTCAAAATATATAAATATATCTAAAAGAAATGCATTTATAGTTATATATAATGAGTAAATTCATTACCTATCAATGATATTGCTACCGCTTCAAGTAGTCCAACTAAATCCAACAGAGACATTTAGAGGACAAATACCGTCATCATAAAGTATGCCTTTGTCATAAGTTTACTTTTAATCAGCCGTTTCAATACAATTCGAGTCAATAAAGTTTAATAAGTACTATTTTCAGTATTTTTGATTTATAACAAAAATTAAAACGGTATTTTTTCGTTGGATTTCCTATTAGATGCAAGACTGTATTAATGCATTAACAAATATAAATGAAATGAATGTTTAGGTATACGTCAGAGAGACAAGAATCCGAAGACTCAATAACTCAAAATGTAGAGGGCAAAAAGTAACATAACAAAAATACCGAACTCTAAGGAAAATTCAAGACGGAAAGTCCCTATCAAATGACAAAATCAAAAGCTCAAACACATCAAACGAATGGAAAACAACTGTCATATTCCTGACTTGGTACATACATTTCCTTATGTAGAAAATGATGGATTAAACCTGGTTTTATAGCTAGCTAAACCTCTAACTTGTATGACAGTTGCACAAAATTCCACTATATTGACAACAATGTGTGAACAAAACAAACAGACACAATAGGTAAAAATGTCAAAAATAGGGTTACACAGTCAACATTGAGTTATAATCCCAATTACTCTTTTTTCAATATACAGTCTTTACTACTAGATAATTTCTATTCAATTTGACAAGATGAAAAAAGCCAGCATTTAAATAAGTTGTGTATAAATTCGAATTTTTACTACAATGAATCTGCCATCAACATGATATTTCCTTAGGGTTTAAAACATTAAGTACACTATACAAGTGTTAAGGTAGATCGTGTGTCATTTTCTGAGCATCCCTTCTAGGCATGTGGCAAACATAATTTTTTGTTTTAAAAATATTATAACAAGTATCATTCAATATACAACAAAATACCTAAAACTTCAATCTATCAAAAATGAAAGTGTCGTATAGTATATTTTTTTCAAGAAAATAAGGCCCGTGACCCCTTTTTTATTTAATATTTCAGAAGTATTCATGAAAAGTAATTCCCTCATCGAAATTTAGCCAATTCTATCGTTTAATGTTTCCTCGATAAGAAAAAGTTAAGTTTCCCCATTATAAACAATATAAAATAACCCAAATTTCGTTAATTTCAATGTATTTTAACGAAAAAACAAGGTCCGTGACCCCCAGTTTTATATTGAAATTTAAAAGTGCATTGACCCAGAAGTCTTTTACAGAAATTTAAGAAAAATCTATCGTCGAACATTTAGACATCCCAGCTACAATAGATATATATTGAGTTGCATAAAGAATGATTGAAAAGATCTTTAAAGACTGTATCTGATATGTGAGCATACTACCATACGGGAAATTTCAGAACAAAAAGCCGACAGTTTTATCTAGACTTTGAATTATTTTATGTTCAGACATTTCAGATTTTGTTCAGTTCTAAATGAGTGCCTCAATCTAAAATGTATTTACTAGTACATTAAAAGCCTATTATTGTCTTATATTGGTATCGCTAGTAATGCACACACACTTAAGAAATATAGCTTGAAGTTATTTTGTAAACAGTCGTATTCACTTTTGTATCTGTCGTTAGAAAGAATGTCTAGTGTATATACTGTCGAATGTTGACGTGTTTAAATGCTCTTCTAATGCTATGCTTGTATATTATCGTGTTTAGTTTGCACTCTATTGTAAAACTTTACGACAGACATACGTTCAACGAAAATTGTGTCTTGGGTTTTTATTATCACTTAATGGTCGATACTGATGTTAGTGAATATAATTCCTCAACGGTTTCATCAGCAAAGTAAGTTACAAAGTTTGAAAGATATATCGCATTTGAAAGCTATCAAAGAACTTCTATCCAAATAAAAGTATCATTAGAAAATTTAGTAGGTTGAAATACTATATTTACATATTAGGATTAGATCCCAAGATAGAAACGATTCCCATGGCTATTCTGCTGTGTAATCCCACTTCCTCTACGGCTACAGCAACTATAAGGCCTCCTATAAATAACATGCTTGTGTCCTAATGGAATAAAATGTACGTCCTTTGAATTATAATTTCATGTAAAAGAACTATAAATTACAAAACATCAGTTGTGCAAGAGAGATTGTGTGTAAATTTGATAGTCGATTCGTATGTCCTTACAAAAAATTAAGAAAAGATATAACTTTGACCTAGAATATTATTAGTATATTTTTTGTGCTATTATACAAAATATTTTGTATATAACATAGAAGATAAGTGCAATTTGAAAATATTGTTTTCTGGAAATATTACTGCGGTTAATATTACATATTACACAGGCAGTCGGTGACCTAATATACATGATACAGTATAAACACGGTCAGTTTTACTGACCGTGTATATACCATGTTAGGTCACTGATGAACTGTGTATTATCTATATCCTACCGACTATCTGACACTTAAAAAACAACATGAGTGATTTATAATAACTTATCAGATGCCATATTTTATCGAGCAATGTCAAGAAACATAACTCTTGAAAACACCGTGTATCAGCAAGTTATGCGCGCAATCAATGTAATTCTCTGAAATCTATAGAAGATATGATATACTTTTATTTCTCAATCTAGCTAGTTATCATAAAAAGGACAAAAGAAAAAAACAAGAGTGCAGTTAATTCAATTCTTGTGTACACTTACCATTATCATAAATTTTGTCCACCAAACCAAACCATATAAGAATACACACGGAGTCTTTCGTATGACAAGATAACTTATTATAACTTTATTTTTTTTAATAACGAAAATTCATGTTTTTAACAATTCTATCAAAATCTAAATTTTAAAGTAATCAACAGACTTGGATCAGCAACGTATAGACCGTCATAAAGTTTTTACATTTTGTCGGCCGATTATTTAAGATCAGTATTATTTATCTGCTATATATTTAATAATAATGACTCGCGCAGATGTTTCTTTTTTCAAGCATAAACGATAAGAAGAGTGGAGTATTCAGTATAAGATGGCCTTCAGAAATATCGTGATGAGGTGTTTTCAACCAGCGGTGTCAATCAGATGTTGATCTTAAAAATTCTTAAGAAATATCCCAAGTCTTCAATCATAATCTTAACCATTTTGCAGTAATATCACAACTTTTGATTTCTCTACGCTTCAAACAGTTATTGGTAATGCTGAACGGAAAGATCGACTACATCGTAGCATTAAATAGAGATTTATACAAAATGGGAATCGTAGATACAAATTTCTTGTTTTCCTCGATATTGACACAGACTGACTATTTCAGAATAGAAGTTATGAAAAACATGAGTATTTCAACTTTTCAATTGTCAACTTCAATTTTCCAAGCAGCAACTAACCATCTCCCCTATCGTATTGCTTTTACACATCTCAAAGAGAGGCAAAATATACCAAAGGGACATTCAAACTCATAAGTCGAAAATAAACTGACAACGCCATGGCTATAAAAAAAGACTAACAGACAAACAACAGTACACAAAACACAACACAGAAAACTAAAGACTGAACAACACGAGCCCCACCAAAAACCGTGGGCGATCTCAGGTTCTCCGAAAAGGGTAAGCAGATCCTACTTCACATGTGGCACCCGTCGTGTTGCTTATGTATGTTCATACCAGATGATAAGTCTAATTCAAATAATACGTTACACTCGTTTACGTTTATGCTATGGGGTCTTCGTTAACAGAGATGTGCTCCTTGCACAACAACTACTCCAACGATTAAAAGAAAGACCGACTGAAATACACACTACATAAGTTTTACGATTAACATCGTCAATTTGTTTACCGATACAATGTGTCAATGTCTCAACTCACAAGTAACATGTGTTTGCGGTCTTATATCTTTAGATACCAGTATAGTCATGTGATCTGTTTAATTAACCGATTGTGTCCTATACCGATCGTGACATTTTGACAGAGTGTGAATAGGCATGGCGGGTTATAAATGAATATCAGGAAAAGATTACCGCTTCGACTCATCCTGTCTCTCTCCTTTTGGAGTATTTTGATTACTTCATTACTATGTTTTTGGTTTGATATGTATCTTTTAAATTGGTTTAATATATTTGAACATCGGTTAACAACTGTTGCCTCAAATTGATTTGGTTAATGTAGTTCTTCAGCATCAACCAGAACAGTGATGGGGCCTTTTGAACTGTTATGACATTATATCATAATATACACTGTTAACTAACTTATTGTAGGAGGAAAGTTCGTTGTCACATGATGTTTTATTGTTTGTTTTTGTTGTTCTAAAAACTCAAGTCTAAAAAGTATCTTTAATGTCATATGCAAAGATTTTATCAATAATAATGTTAAGGAAACAATTGAACCAAATCATGCAAATATACTTGAGTAAGTCATCTATGCTTTTTTTTTCTTTTACATTTATTACGAATCTATAACGTTTAATCGAAAGTAACATTTCATTAGGCGTCGAAAATTTTGTCAGCAAACTAACTTTTGGGTTTTGCTGTCGACGTTTACCAATCTTGACCTTGATATAATCAACATGGAATCGTTGAACACGTGTAGAATAAGTGAGAAGATACAGCGATGTTTATTTGTGTGTTTTATATTTTCCATGCGTTTCTATTTGTTAATAAAACTTTGTCATTACAGTTGTTTGATAATTTGTTGATTTACTTTGTTTCTTTTAGAATCTGCTTATGTTTTCTTTCTATCTCGTTTGTTAACTTTTCTTTCATAACGGATTTTCCAAACACACTTTCGCTGTGCGATTGCCGGTTTTCTCACGAGAGTTGTCGTAGTTAAGGTCACTGCATTCGAATAAGATGTCTACGAATTAGAATACGGGAAGACAATATTTTAATAGCAATACAATTCTGCAGATTTGGATAAAATAAAGAATTCAATTGAAAAGGAAGTATGTCTATGTTTACGATTTTTACATGAAACGTCTTTATTCAAGTATAAAAAAGAATTCTTTTTGTTAAATTTGATGGATCATATGAATTAAATGACGAAATAAGTTAAATATTGAAAGTATAATTAACTTCACCTACGTTGAGGAAAAACGTGCATATGGTCTTGCCTGGGACTACCCCTAACAATGGAAACAATATAACTGGCATGAGAGCTGTAACTGGTATTGGAAGAGCTTCTGTTAACCAGAGAACAGCCATTACTATCAGTCCATAGGCACATTTTGATTCCTAGAATTATAAATAAATGTCTATATAATTCATATTCAAGAACTAACTTTTAAGCTGTGATTTTGTATATATACAATATTTAATATAACTATTTCTATTGAAGATTCGTTCAACTGAAAACACAACTTTAATGCCGATTGTGTTTAAGAGTATCTGTATGGAACACTTAAATGCTTAAAATATCTAATATTTTCACCCTGCTGTTTTCGGTATAGCCCTTCTCTCTTATCTACATGTTTTTACACAACGTATATATCATGATTGTGTAATCCTATGACCAAAGGATATCAAAACGACCATTACTAGAGGTTGTATTTTGTCTATATCCAGTGGTTAGTGTTATTGTGCTGCTCAATCTTTTTTTAATTGTCTGGGGTTTTGTAGACAGGTAAGGTTTCAACTCCCTCAGGCAAAGTTGACCTAAGATGGATTTGGCTATTTCTTAAGCCCCTTTTTTTTTTTGTTATACAGGTCTTCTAGTGTTTCGGTTCTTATACATTTTTGGCTTTCAAATATTCGGCTTTGAACGTCGAACGCATGAAGTTTATAACATTTTTTATGTTAGTCTTTGTTATTTTCATGTGGCAAAGGTGTCGTCTCTGTTTCATGGGTTGATCTAGAAATTAAGATTTATGGTATGACAAGGAGAGGCATTTATATTAACAGTGAAAATCAACCATGTATGGGTTGTAAGAATTACAGTGACAAATATACACAAATTATTTTACCTGTAAATCCTGTCAATAAATGTATATGACTAATAAATAACCACAGTGCACTATGTATGCAGGATCTATTTTTCCCAAAAGAGGGAAATGTGGTTTATTGACGAAATGCAACGTAATAAAAATAAACCACTGTAAATGAGATTAATATTAGGTGCAGCTGTACGGTCTATGGTTCTTTTGAATCAAATACGGATGATTATACTGTAAAGATTGGTAATAATCCTTACATTCAAACTATTTTATAATTTGTAAAAGAAAACACTATTTATAAAATATGTTATTCAACTAAAATTGAATTGATTAAATGATAATTTATTTATTGTAATCTATGCAAACTCGATTTCGGCTTGGAGGAACTGCCAGATGAGAACTCTAAAATCGGTACTTTGTGTGTTGGTCTTTTTTGACATTTGTGTCCATCTTTTTTATTCGTATGTGCTACATAACACTTGTTACAGGAATGGTTGAGTGTTCATAAACGTACGGTTGCATATAATTGCTTACATCCACTTCATTTGAACTTGGGTGGATAGTTGTCTTATCGGCAATCATACCACATCTCCTTATTTTTACATTTGAAGGATCATAAGACTAAGTTAGGACTGAAACTAGAAGGTCTGCTTCATATCTGGAACTCTTTCTTGAAAAAGATACAGATGGACAACAGTTACTGTAAACTAGGATATATGACGGGATGATTTATGTTTCCCCATTGTCTACTTCCCTGTTTGGGTCTGCTTGCCCAATTTTGTCAATATTACGGGACTATGAACAATATGATATTTCATGTTAACATAAAAATTCTGACTACTGAGCAGATGATACCTAAGGCGCTCACCAGCAATGGAATTACCTCAGACAGTATAAAGGCTCATCAGAGATACTATGCTAAAAATTTGTTACGCCAGACGAGCATTTCGTCTATATAAGACGCATTAGTGGCGCTCAAATCAAAACAGTTGAAAAGCCTCATCGAATACGAAAAAAACAACATCGAAATCATAAATTTTGCAAGATCTAACTTAAAATATCTTTTCGTGACGCGACAAACTTAGCGCACCAAATAATTCAACAATAAATTCAACAATAAATTTACAGAAAAATGAACGTATCATACTCTCGTGTCATCGAATGATGTTTACACATTCTGAAATTGATATGTAACTTACGCACATGCTCACATTATACGACTGCATACCAAAAGCGTGCTCATAACGCAATAAACTGCAACAGCTGGGTTATGAGAAAGAACGATAGAAATTCATCATGAAGTGGTTGAACGATATGATTTGTATGTGTCTCCACTAACAAGATTACGTGGTCTCAAATTTAAGTATACTAGAGTAGTCATCTGGTCTGTAATTTCACCGTTTCGGATTGTGTCCTTTTCCATAACGTGATATTTGGAAGGAGTCTAAATTATCGGTAAAACAGGCGTTGCAGTAGATCCTGTCGACGTACACCCAGTCTCGCTTCATATATTATGGAATTCATGCAATTTCCTCAGTTTTTTTATACTTGATTTGAATAATCATAATTTAATTTCGAGATTCGAACATCGTTAAACTACTGTTGCCTCTGATTTACTATCAACCTTTATGAATAAGAGAAATAAGGCCTAAATTTGAAAAATAACATGCAATGCCATGTTCTTTAATTACCTTTAAACGACTGAGATAGATTGGGTTGAGAAAAGAATTGTCCTTTTTAGATATAAACATCATTGTCACAACAAATTATGAAGAAATTAATATATATTTTGTAAACTTATTTTCCTTGTTTTGTGCTAACTTTCAGTATTCTTCATTCTTTCTTGCTTTTTTGTTGTTGTCTATTTCTGAATTATAATTTAAAACTATAACATATTAAATATTCAGTCAGCAGTTTCAAGTGTTTTTGAAATTTTCCTTTTTTTTAAAGTTTGATTCAGATAAAAGACACTAATTTTTTGACAGATTAAAAACATCTAGACTGTATCAAATGACCCTTGCCTGAACCAATATGAATAATTATACCAAAATCAGTTAACGGTTAATAGCTCATGTCTGTCTTATAGAAATGTAATGGCCTGAAGATCCTTTAAAGCTAAAATGTATTTTATCAGCATTCATATATCTATGTAAATTTAATTATAACTAAGATGTGTAAGTTGTCTTTAATTTTAACATGATAACAGATTGTTTTTATGGTTCATACAAATCATATATATTTGAAAGCCAACATCTTTGGGATTGTCTTAGTGAAGTATAAAGTAAATTAAGAGTAAAAGCCTTTTGAAAGTGAAAAATATTTAAAATTTTCTTTATAAGGGGAAACAGTGTCCGGAAAAGAAAGTTGAAATCAATAATATATGATGTAAATATAGCTTTATTCGTTACGTTGTTATATTTGAAGATTAAAAAATTTTTTTTATGAAAACGCTTCAAACATGGTGTCAATTTCATTGCACATGTCACGTGTTTTTATATTAAACTTCAAATGCTGATGTCAAGCAGTGTAATCTTTCAATAAAATTCTTGTTGAGAAAAAGTGCCAGAAGAAAACAAAAGGTCGAGAAACAAAACTCAATTGAAATCAACTGTTCAACGACTCTCTTTATTTTTTCTCATCACTTTGTTAAGGGTACTTTGAGCCAAGAGTCAATACACTTTCAATGTAATGCAATATTTTCGTGTATATTGTTATTTTCCGATATTTTATGAGAAAAAAGAAAAATAACAAAAATACCGAACTCCAAGGAAAATTCAAAACGTAAAGTCCTTCATCAAATGACAAAATCAAAAGCTCAAACACATCAAACGAATGGAAAACAACTTTCATATTCCTGACTTGGTACAGGCATTTCCTTATGTAGAAAATGGTGGATTAAACCTGGATTTCCACAAACACACACCAAACATTACTTTTTTCATAAATAATTGTACAATAATTTCAAGGATAAATTTAGATTGTCAACATTGATTTGCAAATATCAATCATTGTTGTAATCTGGCATGCAGTGCTACATTTAGACAAATCACAAACCTAGGATTTATATTTTACAACATTTTTATTCTGACAAATAGTTATAAAAAAGCACATGTAAACTTTTACTGAAGGAGTTGTAAACATATAGTTAATCAAAACCTAAGGCAAGTAATAAGATGTTTTAAGAACTGTTTATCAAAGCTTTAACGCATCTTCAATTAATACGAAACTGACTTGTATTTTACACTTTTATGGAAACGTATATCAGATGTTATCGTAACTTTTAATAAATGCATTAGTGTAAATAGCTAAATATAATCGAGTATGATTAGTTTCAAATCCAATGTGAAATTTATCTTGTTTTTATTCATTAATGTATACTATTTACAATGTTATAAAAAGATGTACGATGTTGTGAAAATATACCTCTTCAAAGATACCAAGCTTATAATTGTGTACGCCTTACGCGCATTTCGTCTACAAAATACACATCAGTGACGCTCAAATCAAAAATATTAAAAGGCCAAATAATTTACAAAGTTGAAGAGAATTTCGGACCTAGCGTATTAAAGCTTATTCCTGGTATCTCATATCATAAATAAGCTGAGTATCCTGAGACATATTAAAAAAATGAAAAGACGAATATTCGTTTAATGATAACAATAGACATATAGAGGATGAACTTAAAAAAAAACCGAAAACCACTCCATCAGTTTGTTGCAATTTTTAGACCTTATACAAAATTAGACAATATTTGCAGCGAGACAAAAAAAAAGATTTTTTTTTTTCAATTTATTATTTGCTATTAAATATTCATATTGTAATTATCATCATAGTATCTCATTAGTATATGCTTATTTTTATATATGATTAAAAAATCAAAGTCCCCATAAATCAATATCTATGAATTGCCCGAGTGCAAACCTAATAATTTCTGCAAAGGACAATCTACAAACTCAGTTGTAAATCATCACCGTAGTGTTTCAAATTACAAATCAAACATTTCACGACAAGAAAAAAAATGTTTGTCCATACATCAAGATAAATTTAATACAATTTAATTATAATATAATTCATTATATGTCTCTCTTACATCTAAGTGTCTAAATTAGTGCTGCTAATCCTTCCTTCATAAAAGTACATGTACCGTTATTATGTGAGAAATTCATACAACCGACTCAATATTAAATGACGATTTATTTATGTGTAACATATGATCATATCAGTTTACTTTATTTCCTTTTCGTAAAGTATTAATATTATCATCGTCAAATTTTGTGTCAACTGAATACTTGTTTTGTTTAGGTATGTTTGTTTGTGAATATATGTATGCACTTATCAACAACAAGAATTTATGCTGATACCAAAGTAATTTTTACATATTGGTGACACTTTTCCTCCGATTTAGGACACTAAAAAACCTAAAAGTAGTCTGAATTCACAATCATCATTCTAACTAATGTATTTATAGCCATTCAAAACAAATAAATACTAATTGTCGACTTACGTTTTTGACTTTTTGAGACGTTACAATAAATATGTCTTTTATATCAACATATATCTTTTCGTATTCAACAGTTCTTAGTATATGCATAAAAATGTATGCAAAATACTTTTGTAGTTTAACTTTCAGGTAAGTGAAATTGGTGACATATGAATTTATCGAAGGTGCTATCAATTTGTCTCTCAACGTCGTATATCTATATTCAGGGATATTCAAAACATGATATGATATCATTAGTTACACAGTGTGTTAATGACTTAATACGATGTATACAGCATCAGTTAATTTCATATGGGGCGAGAGCGAGCGAAGTACTGACATCCATTTCAAAACTATAATGAGTTGACAATAGTATTCATAGAATGAGACAAGTAACAAGTAACAACTGGAAATGCCTAACAATAAAAGTATAACAGGCTTAAACCTACATATGAACACACAGTTGTCTGTGTTTTTTTTTTAAACTTTTGTATGGTTTGTAATATCAGTTGCAATTTAATTATAAGATTGACATCTAACTTTGCATTATCTTTATTTGTTGTTGAAAGGTCAACACTATACAAAATGAATAAATATACAACTGACATTGACATAGAATCTGAACGTATAAGCTACCAGAAGGGTAACAAAGTTTTTCAAAGGTGTTGTTTATGAAAAAACAGAGATGTCGGGTATACTTCAATTAGCTAGACGCTAACCGACACAAATACCAAAAATGTCACATTACGGTGATCAACAATAGAGGTTTTCATATATGTATGACATGAAAATACAGACAAAAGCTTAATTCAAGTAGCCATAATGTCCCCAGTCATGAGCCTATAATGCAGTGGTTGTCGAAAGTTGTTGTCCGTTATCTTTGTTTTAGATTAATTGTTTTGTCATAAATCCGGCCGTTGGTATTCTCGTTTGCATTGTTACACATTTTGTCATTTCGGGGCTTTTTATAGCTGACAATTAGGTATGGATTTTGCTCATTGTTGAAGGCCGTAAGATATTCTACAGTTGCTGACATCTAAGTAATTATTGCGGGAAGTTGTCTCATTGGCAATAATACCTCATTTCCTCATTTTCATCTTCGAGCTCAAAAGTTGTGTATTTTGCTTACCATACAGCTAAAGGATTTACTTTACATGTCACTATCAAAAAGTAGCATACATGGATAAAATATGACATACATAGCTGGTAAACTACCTTTCTCAAGTTAACATACGAATACGAATACGAAAGTTTTATTTTGATTCGCTTCACATATAACAATACAAACATAAGCGTTACCGAACATGTTGAAATGACTTACCGGTATATGGGTATTTCAATTATAAATCTTAGGATAAACTTTGTCAATTAAACTGATGATTATCTAAGACATATTTTAAAAAAGAAGACATTTAACACGAAAACGTTCAGTTTAAAAGTCTTAATTAGATCTGCCTAACTCAGTAAATAAATCAAGCCTCAGTTATCTGTTGAAAAAAAAATAACAATAACACAATAAAAATTACCAACCGACGAACAATAAACAGAATGACCAAAAGAAAAAAGCGGTAAAGATATACAAAAGAGGCAAAAGATACCAGAGGGACATTCAAATTCAACTCATAAGTCGAATATAAACTGACAACGCCATGGCTAAAAAAGAAAAAGACAAACAGACAAACAATAGTACACAAAACACAACATAGAAAACTAATGACTGAGCAACACGAACCCCACCAAAAACTGGTGGTGATCTCAGGTGCTTCGGAAGGGTAAGCAGATCCTGCTCCACATGTGGCACCCGTTGTGTTGCTCATGTTAGTACTAAACAGGTAATAAGTCTAATTCGGTAGGTCACATTCGGAAATGGTCAACAAATACCACACATACAAATCCAATAATTGAGGAAGATATACCCGAACACAAAACCATAAGCTAGACAGTTAGTTTTTGTTCCACAAGTGATACGTGTTGTGCTGTTCACTTCAAATGAAAATTAGATGGCCAGTGTGATTCAGTTATAAGTGATAATAAAGGAAGAAGGACTTATGTAAAGTATCAGTTCTTAAACAAGAAATGACAAAAAAAATCACATACATGAAGGATGAAAGGATATTTGTAAATAGACAAGAAATCCATCATTCAATTGAAAAGACAAAGATTTTCGTTAACAACCTCATTTTCTAAGATTCTAACCAGGAAATAATACAAGTCTTAAACACGACATTTTGTCTCATTATATTCTCTTTGTATATAATAGAAAAACAAAGACCATTGAAATATCCATCCATTACACAAAATTAGACATGCACAGCAGTTTTAAAAACGAAACGAAAGTTACCAAGAAGTAAGAGGTGTGTATAACGTATAGACGCTTATAATGGGATCTTTTGGATTCCCAACGTAACATCTTAATAATTTAAATAACATGCACTTGCAATCTTTATCTTATCTATAACAACTACAAATATCACACAGCAATAATGTATATTCATCAATGTCGTAACATCTTCATGTGTTTATACATGTAACAAAAGATAAATAGGACTTACCTTAGTGTCGTCACTGATAAGATTTATAGGGGCCAGAATAGCAATCAGTACGATGAGGATATTCCGTATGGCCCAGATATTTAAAAAGAACAGTTTCACTGCTTTTAAAGTCATAATGCTACCATTAACCAGAATAACGAATCATTCGAGTACGTATGTTGTACTTAAACAAGACAACTACTTTAACATTTTAATATCAAAATGTAAACATATTTTTCCTTTTACGGGACAGGTAAATTGATCAGATATGAACTGCATTAAACTGTTAAAAGGTGCGCTCTATAATAGATATTTACAGGTTAAAGTGTTTGTCTAGTTCCAGGCACAAATACTTTAAAATTATCATTAAAATTTGTCCTTGAATATTTTTGTGATAAGAGAAAGTTATTTTTTGTCAAATGAATGAAACGCATGAAAGGGTTATTCACCTCCAAAAAACAATTACAGGTGAATAAAAGTGTGTTTTACAATGCAAAACATCCAAAATTAGAACTATGATCATTCAAGAATGTCTTTAAGCAATAAGTGTAATATATATAAATATATAAAATTTAAATCAATGAATTAATAATACTAGTTATATAAAAAATTAATAATAAAAAAAAAATAATAATAATAAACCTTTGATGATGCGACAAAAGTTTCCGAACACCTTTTAAAAGAGAGACGAAAGATACAAAAGGGACATTCAAACTCATAAGTCGAAAATAAACTGACAACGCCATGTACGCTGGTAAGTTATCATGAAGTCATTTAAATAAAACGGTTAAGAGCATCAACACCTAAAGACCTAAAAGAGAACAGCAAAAATTGTATGAGTCTTAATTTAAAAACAAAGTCGATTGGGTTTTTAATTTCAGCTAAATGTAAGAAAAACATAAAACTTGGATATGGATTTAACCAGATAGACAAAATACGTAATGTATTGATGTCAAAAATATGCTTAACAACAGTACAATTGCATGATCATTAGGACCCAAAATGACTGCTCTGAACTAGAAATTAAAGAAACAACAGACAAGTCTTCCTCCGCCTCATTTTTAGACTTATACCTCGAATTTGACATAAGCGGTCCTCTCAGTACCAGAATCTATGACTATTTCAGACTTATAAGAAGATGTGGTATGATTGTCAATGAGACAACTCTCCACAAGAGACCAAATGGCACAGAAATTAACAACTATAGGTCACCGTACGACCTTCAACAATGAACAAAGCCCATACCGCATAGTAAGTGCAATGACTGCCAGGAATAGATTAAATAAGACAGATTTAGCTCTTTTTTTTGAATTTTTCATTTTCAATGCTCTTTAATTTCGAAATTGATATCTCCTTTCTATTTTGATTCGAGTGACAGTAATGTGTCATATGAAGACGAAAAGCACGTCTGACGAACTAAATTATAAGCCTGGTATCTTTGGGGAGTTTTTTTTTATATTGATACGCATTTCTGGGTCTATTTTCGGCAGTCACACTCAGAGACGACAGCTGGATCAAAATGGGTAAACAAAATAACATTTAACTTCCAAACTGAGTGACATTCAATCGATGGAGAGTTCCAAACATTGTATAATTATCTAACTTCCGTATGTGGTAGATTTATTCTATGTAGCATATCAGAAACATAACCAATGACCTTTAGTTGATTCATCAATTCTACTGTGGCATTTTAGTAGTAGTCCAACAAATTAACTCTAAAGAAGTCCGGTACAACTCTTTTTTATCTCTCAATCTAACCACTGCTAAATAAAACGACTAAAGCATTTATGTAATGAAAGCTATCAACTTTTCAGACACAACATGACGGGTGAAAATTGTAGAGCAAGATTTGTATATATGATAACACTTCGGTTATTGTGGAATTGACTTTGCGTTGATCAATCTTCAGTTTTCAGTGTAGTGTTCAATGTAGTGTCTTTTCTTCAATTTTCTTTGTCTGTTTTTCTTCTTTAATTTTAACTACAGATATAGAAAGAATGGACGTGTAGTTTAATTTTTGTATTACATCTTGCTATGATTTCTCCCAAGTTACGTTTTACTCTCAATGTGATGGAAATGGCTTAACGGGAAAACACTTTATTGTCATTTAATTTTCATATAGTTTTACAATGTAATTATTTGGTATAGATGTAGTTAGTTCGTTGGAAGTATTTTGTATAGATGTAGTCAGTTTGTTGGAATTATTTGATATAGGTGTAGTCAGTTCGTTGGGATTTTTGGTATGATGCAGTCAGCTTGTTCTGAACTATCCAAACTATACAAAGTCTTTCCATCTGCAATGGAAGAAGTCAATACAGCCTATTTAAAGTTCGTTCAAGACTCGTCCTTTATGTACTAACCAACATTTAAGGTACGAAAAAAATTGATTTACAAAATATACTTTTGGTCGTATTTTGAATAACATCAAACTACACAAATATGATATCTAACAGACTAAAAGGACGGAAATATTTTTTATACAACATTAATTATAAATATATTTAACTGTAAAATATGTACATGAGCAAACAGAAATTTTTGAATATCACAATGGAATGTTATTGAGATTAATCCAATATCAGGCATTTCCAATATGATATATTCACCGTAAAACATTGCTTTTACTTTATCTTGTAATCCTTTCTTCACATTTTCATCTCTTCTTGATTCATTTCTTTTCACATTCTTATCAAACTTGATACTAATGGCTTTCTTCTACGCGTATTTTTTCTTCATTTTGTTCCCGTGCATCTTGTCTTCTTAAATGGCTTTCCAGTAATTTACCAAACACAGCATTATAAGGATGAGCAAATGGGGTCCTTTTATTATTAACATCGACCATTGTCCTACCTTCATTTGCCCATTTGAATATACTTCCTTCTAAGTTATACATCTCCCATGGAGGTTTGGTACCTATGGTAATAAACAGATAGATTAAATTGTTTATTCCATTCATTGATTGACTACGGGAAAGGTAAGCTATATCTACGAAACAATAGCAAAAATATCGTACAGTTGAGCAGCACCCTCATACCCTTTATCTCACTTGCATCAACATCATTGATGAATCCATCAGGTATATAATAATCTATTTTGGTATTAAGGCTGTTGCTGATATCTAAAAGCAATGGTACGTTCACAAAATGATGCAATTTTGGCAATTTTTATGCGGTGTATTCTTTGCAAATGAAGCTTTACGACCAATGCATATATCAATACAAATAAAGGCAACAGTAGTATATCGGTGTTCAAAAGTCATAAATCGATTGTAATGAGAGAAAACAAATCCGGGTTACAAACTAAAACCGAGGGAAACACATCAACTATAAGAGGAAAACAAAGGAACAACAGGGACACTGAAGTGCAACATTAATAACTTTCATTTCAAATATCGGTTTTACGAGATTTATAACACTTCATTAATTCGAATTGAAAGCACAAAACAAATTATATCATCACGTTAGCTTTTTCAAATTTAGATTAAAAAGAGAATAACACCTTAATACAGTCTAAATTTGTAAAATGACATTTGGAGTGTAATTCATAGAAGTCAATATGGAGAAAATTATACACATACCCAACTTTTTGAAATGGTCCTGTATTTTTTCAACAACCAAACTTGATCTGTATCCAGCTGCGCAATAACATACTATACGGGCACTTTTATCAGTCTGTGCATCTGAAATAATCAGAATTATCCATAAAAGACATTGTGTGATTATCATCAGATACAAAAAATAAAGGTAAATGTGATATTGGAAGTTTGTTTTAGTTTCTATATTGAAGCTCAATAGCTATTTATGTTTTGAATGTTAGGTCGCATATTTTCATACTTGTCAGGCCTTCCAGAAATGTAGCAATGGGTTTAGTTAATAAAAGGTAAGTTCTTAGCTATCATTGCACGACGATTTCACGTAAAAAATTAGGTGCAGAATTTCAAATTTCGAGGAAATACCACTGAATTGGTACCACAAAGAAATCTGCCATGTATCCTTAACATCATACTATATGTTTCTACAATAATTATAATGTCATATACCTGGTATTTTCTCTAGAATACTTTCTGCTTCGTTCTCATAGTCAACTCGAACGGCTCCCGGTATACGACTGACGACATACTCTTCCTCTGGTCTACAGTCCTGAAGATAAACAAGTATAGTTATCAAAGGAGTTAAACCCTTTCTAACTGATTTTTTCAGTGTGTTCGTATTTCATGTTGTTGCACCACTGTCCCAGGTAAGGCAAGTGTTGATAGTTCAAACATATGATTCTTGGTGTGCCTTTCCGAAGTCAAGGGCGTGTAATTCAGTTGTTGTAGTTCTTTCCTTTCTGTCATATTTGTTTTTCGTGTAATTGTTTTAAACATAAATCAGGCCGCGTTGGTTTTCTCTTTTGACTTGATTTACATTTTGTCATGCTGGTTCCATTCATAGCTTACCTAACGTTATGGGTTTTGCTCATTGTTGAATGCCATACAGTAAACTGTAGTTACTAACATCTTGTTCTTTGGTCTCTGGTGGATTGTTATCTCATTGGAAATCATACCACGTCATTATTCTACTTGTATGAAGGACTAACGCAAACTTCAGGAAACCTGATTTTTGAAGATTCTAATTTTTGAAGATTCTGATTTCGAGTTTTGTGATTCATTATATTTGTTTCTCATTAACATCAGATGCATGTAGATGTTCAAGATTGGAATTTTTTCATTTTAGCATCGGGGGTCATAATGATCTCCTCATTTATATTATTCAGGTCAGGAATAACCATATACCTCAATTCATGTATAATCCACCATTTGTGGCATACTGAGATAGTTCATTTGAGACATAATGACAATTTCTTCACTAAATCTCTAAATGAACTTCGTGCATGTTATTGCATATACCATCGAATTGATGAGTCATTGGTGAGACATGTAATTGCTTCTGACTTCCTGTGCTGCATTTTGTGAAAATGTGGATTATATCATAATTGAGGTATAAACCACTACTTGTTGGATATTCATGACTAGCTACCTTAAGGCTGCATCAGTATCAAATTTAAGCTTTGTTTGTTGAAATGGACATTAAGAAACTATAGAACAAAAATAGGATTAAAGAGATTAAAACTCAGAAATTATAAGTAGGAAAATGAGGACCATATTAGTTCAAGTGTTTCTCTACCAAAATGCAGCATGAAGTGTCAGAATCAATTACATGTCATTTCTAAGTAGTCTTCAAAGTTTGGAATGGTATATACAAACAGATGCTCGAATATCTCTTAAAAACGTGTGCATTATACCTCAATTGGTCAATCTTAATATATTTCATTTTTTAAGAGTAGGGGGACCGGATCGTAACCCTTGGAGAGCGAAGGTGGCTAAAGTAGGGGACCGAATATAACCCTCTACGACCGAAGATGACTATATGTCAAATGGTGGATCATACGTGAAGTGTGGAGTACAATGCTATTCCACTGTTATTGTTAACTTTTACCTTATAATGCTGCATGCTTACTGAAAATATCTGCATGTATTTCGTCGATGTCGGAAATAAGTTAACATATATTACAATAATCGATTAAAAAACTATTCTGAGCATTTCTGCGTTGGTTTTAGGCGACTCAAATCTTACCAGTAAAATAAAGGCGCTTCTATGTGGGAATATCACCCTAATGACCTTTCATGTAACCTGGGGAATCTCATTCAAAATTTGTACGATCACGAAAAATAATTGAATTAAATTGGACTAAACAATTACAGACAGTCTATCCTCTCGGTCTTAACGACAATATCATGGGAATTGGTAATATATCTATAGATATAGGAAGATGTGGTATGAGTGCCAATGAGACAACTCTCCATCCAAGTAAAAATTTATAAAAGTAAACCATTATAGGTCAAGGTACGGCCTTCAACACGGAGCATTGGCTCACACCGAACAGCAACCTATAAAGGGCCCCAAAAATTACTAGTGTAAAACCATTCAAACGGGAAAACCAACGGTCTAATCTATATAAAAACGAGAAACGAGAAACACGTATGAACTACATAAACAGACGACAACTACTGTACATCAGATTCCTGACTTAGGACAGGTGCAAACATTTGCAGCGGGATTAAACGTTTTAATGGTACCAAACCTTCTCCCTTTTTCTGAAACAATAGTATAACATCACAACATAGAAAGACACACTATAAAATATCAATTGGAAGGCATAACTCAATCAAAAAACGTAAATTAACACACAATGAACGAATAACTTTGAACAGATTCTGTTAACATTTTGGATATAGTTTCTAAAACAGTACGTAATCAAAGCCTTAAAGGCTGTAAAAGCAATTACTGCCATGTTAATGTTTTTGGGACTTTTTCATCAACATATATATAAGAATTAAACCTGACAGGAGTGTTGTCTAGTGAGAAATAAGAAGGTTTTAACTTTATATCAATAAAAGACTTTAGCAGAAAGTCATTTTTGATATGTTTTATATTTCACACGGAGACAACACGTTTACCAGGCTAAAGTTTGGGTCAAATTTACATGTGCTGAAACATATAACTCAAAAAGAAATTATCCCCTGGTAGTGTTTGTAACTGGGCAATAATTTCCTTTATTGATTTAATTTTAACAATTATCATAATTAATTTAAATTTAACCATTCAATTAAAATATTTCAACTTTCCAGACACAAATGTTGAAAAAGGGGAAAGAAATAAAATATCTTACAAGACATAAACATGTAAAAAATAAATATATATTTTATATTTCAGCTTACTAAAAATATTTTCATAATGTTACTTTGTCTTCATTTCTTAAAACTAAGTCCCAAACATTATTGCTCAGTTGATATGTGTCATCCTCATGCGGTACGAGATAACTATAATTCTCATGCAATCCCGAAAAGGGGGGTCATCACAGACAAACATGACATTAAATTGTCATTATACGAACAAGAACAAACAGCTCTTCGTTGCTTTGATATTTATCAATTTTCAGGAAACATTGCGAAAAATGATCTTCAATATTTCGAAAACATGTGAAATAAAATTGCAAACACGGTGGACCGTCGAGTGTCAACACACGTAGAAGACTCGTCCACTGGAAAGACGAGGATAATGGTTTCATCATTTGTCATGCATACCCAGTTTTAATTATGATATCCAAAAGGACGTACTTTTTTCAATCTATGAAACTAGAAAATTCTAAATTGTAAATATCTCTTCCTCTGGACTTGGTATCTATCACGTTTTGACGGGTCTATTTCATTAGTAAGGTGATCGATAAATCTTACGGAGTTATGACAAAAAAGGAAAACGAACTTATTGTTATGGGTTTCGTTCCGCTAAATTATTTGCGCAAACAAATCAACAAAATAGGTCAGTTAAGTTTAGATTACATGTTATCATTTGACACTACGTATAACCTGTGTAGTGATTTTGATTTTACGATAAATTTATGAATGAACGATAATTTTATGAATGAACAAGAGCACCTGGCCTCTTTCTTAGAGAAACACCAATTAAACATATAAAACCGTATTTAATAAGAGATAATTCAGTAAAATTTTCAATACCAAATCAACAACTGAAATGATTCGATATTTTGTTGAAACATCGTACGAAAGGAGAACGGAATCGCAAGTATAAAAATGCACTTTTTTCACTCGGACTTCTATGTTTTTTGATAGTCAAACGGTTGTCCCCCTAAATACAAAAATGCATCTACAAGAACATATGCTGAAACCTCTTAAATCCACTAAGGTTTTTCAAAAGTTTCAAGCTATGTATTGCATTAGAAAACATACATAGGTGTTTAAGAATGACAGACCAGGAGCCTGTTTAACAAAATACTATGGCTTGATCTGGGCGGAGTCTCTGATTTGCGTCACAAAGATGGCCATACGCGATGGCATAAAAGCAATTGCTTTAAAAACCGTTCTCATGGGCGTAGAATAAATCGCAATCAAAGAAAATTTCGTAATGATAATACAAATATTTCGGACCTAATTTCTATTTCAAAAAACAACGGTAGACACTACCTATTAACCAAGCTCTGTTCTTTGCCTGTTAATAAATTACATCAAATTTAGGAGGAATGCAACACAATTCCATATTGCCTTCCTAAGTATGAATCGTCCAAATTATAATTGCATATTGTTATTCTAAATTGTTTCCTAAAATTGATCGCCCTGAAGATCACAAAAAACATTTTATTCAAATTAAATATGTCAATAAAGGTTTTGATTTTGTAAATATTGCCTGTATTTTTTAATGACCATTCTGTTAAAGAACAAATTCCTGGCTGTTTTGATAATACTGAACTCCCTCCTATTTGTTATGTTTACAAAAAATCTACACGGAAATATGTATTTAATTATAGCGAAGTGTGTAAAGATGTTAATATCAGTGACAATACACCTACCTCATGAAATTGCAGTAAATCCGAATACATTTATGGCCCCAGTTCCCATGTTATAACAGGAGACCTTAACATCGTTCGTGACCGAGAGTTGAAATCATTCCTCAGTAAAGGACCTAAATATCTTCCCCCGTCAATTATTAATTGGAATGAGTGTTGTAACATCATCCACGACTCACTCCGTACTTACTGCTCTAAATGGATAAAACGAGAAAAAGCTAACAAGAAATCATTAGATTCTTTTTTTAATTCGGTAATGAACATAGTTGATATACGTATTCAACATTTTAAAGATCATTTTACTCCTAACAACAACCATAATAGCCCAATTTCCCGTATCAAACATAAGCTAAAAGAACTCGCCAAGGAATATATTTTTGTCCCGGCTGATAAGGCTGCTAACAATATCATCATTGTTTGACGTAAATTTTACATTGATGTTCTACAAAAGGAAATCACGAATTCACCAACTTTCCAACTGACTCCATTTTCGGAAAATGACATCTGTAACAAACATAAACTTTTAGCTACCTCTTTACAAGAAGAACCAAATACAATGAAAGTTCCAATTATGTACTGGCTTCCGAAGCTGCACAAAACTCCTTACAATTATAGATGTATTTCGTCTTCAAGCCATTGTTCCACTACTAAACTATCTATTATACTTACTACTACACTTCGTACAATCAAAAACCTGGTAATAAATTGTTCAAATAAGGCCTTTGAAAATAGTGGA